ACCTGAATATAATAAAAGCAATATACAGTAAACCAACAGCTAACATCAAACTAAATGGAGAGAAACTCAAAGCAATTCCTCTAAAATCAGGAACAAGACAAGGCTGTCCACTCTCTCCATATCTCTTCAATATTGTACTTGAAGTTCTAGCTACAGCAATAAGACAACAAAAGGAGATAAAGGGGATACAAATAGGAAAAGAAGAAGTCAAACTTTCACTATTTGCAGATGATATGATAGTTTACATAAGTGACCCGAAAAACTCTGCAAGGGAACTCCTAGAGCTGATAAACACCTTCAGCAATGTGGCAGGATACAAGGTAAACTCAAAAAAATCAGTGGCCCTATTATATACAGATGATGAAGTGACTGAGAAAGAAATCATAGAAACATCACCCTTTACAATAGCCATAAACAGCATCAGATATCTGGGGATAATGTTAACCAAGGAAGTGAAAGACCTGTATATCGAGAACTTTGAGTCTTTAAAGAAAGAAATCAAAGAGGATACCAGAAAATGGAAAGATCTCCCATGCTCTTGGATTGGTAAGATCAACATAATAAAAATGGCAATCTTGCCAAAAGCAGTCTACAGATTCAATGCAATCCCTATCAAAATTCCATCACAATTCTTCAAGGACCTGGAAAGAACATTAATCAACTTTATATGGAAAAACAAAAGGCCCAGGATAGCCAAAACAACCCTATACAATAAAGGAACTTCAGGAGGCATCACCATACTTGACTTCAAGCTCTATTATAGAGTTATAGTCCTGAAAACAGCTTGGTATTGGCACAAAAATAGTCAAAATGGAACAGAATTGAAAACCCTGATTTTAACCCACACACCTATGAACACTTGATTTTTGACAAAGAAGCTAAAACTATACAATGGAAAAAAGAAAGCATCTTCAACAAATGGTGCTGGCATAACTGGGTACTGGTATGCAGAAGACTGCAGATAGATCCATGTTTATCGCCTTGCACAAAACTTAAGTCCAAATGGATCAAAGATCTCAACATAAATCCAGCCACACTGAAACTTTTAGAAAAGAAAGTGGGAGATACTCTTCAACGAGTTGGTACAGGAGACCACTTCCTATACATAACACCAGCGGCACAAACACGGAGATCCACAATTAACAAATGGGACCTCCTGAAACTAAAAAGCTTCTGTAAGGCAAAGGACACAGTCACCAGACTAAAAGGCAGTCCACAGAATGGGAAAAGATATTCGCTAACCCCACATCTGACAGAGGGCTGATCTCCAAAATTTACAAAGAACTCAAGAAGCAAGTCTCCAAAACACCAAAGGATCCAATTAAAAGGTGGGGTGCAGAACTAAATAGAGAATTCTCAATAGAGGAGGCTAAAATGGCCAAGAGACACTTAAGAAAGTGCTCAACATCCTTAGCCATCAGGGAAATGCAAATCAAAACAACTCTGAGATACCATCTTACTCCTGTCAGAATGGCTGAAATCAAAAACACCAATGACAATTTATGCTGGAGAGGATGGGGAAAGAGGGGAATATTCCTCCCCTGCTGGTGGGAGTGCCAACTCGTACAGCCACTTTGGAAATCAGTATGGAGATTCCTCAGGAAAGTGGGAATTAATGTACCACAAGACCCAGCTCCACTATGTTCATAGCAGCATTATTTGTAATAGCCAGAACCTGGAAGCAACCTAGATGCCCCTCAACTGAAGAGTGGATAGAGAAAATGTGGTATATTTACATAATGGAGTATTACTCAGCAGAAAAAAAAAACAATGGAATCTTGAAATTCGCAGGTAAATGGATAGCACTGGAAGAAACCATCCTGAGTGAGGTAACCCAGTCGCAAAAAGACAAACATGGTATGTACTCACTCATATATGGATTTTAGACATGGATCAGGATAGTGCCAGTCTGCACTTCCACTGATAGAGAGTCTGGGAAACAGGAAAGAACCTAAAAGATATACATAGTACCCAAGAAAAGAGGATTGAGTCAAGATCCTCTGAATGGATGGGGAACACGGCTGGGGGGGGAGTGGGAGCTGGAAAGAAGAGAGGGGGAGAAGAGGAAGAGAGAGTAGGTCATGGGGGAACAGGAAGGTTGAGGGGGGGTATAATAGGGGGAAGAGGGAATCATAGGTTAGAAGACAGATCAGGCACCAGTGTGACCTCTAGTGATCTAAAAGGATGACACCAATTGGCAAGCTAAGCAATAGTGGAGAGACCACCTCGAATGCCAATTCCTGATAATGAACTTGATGTCTATAACCATCCGGGAGCCTTCATCCAGTGACTGATGGAAGCAGAGGCAAACACCCACAGTTAAACACTAAACTGAACCCAAGGAACCCAGTGACAGCGAGAGAGGAGCGATGAGCAAATTGGCAAAGAACGGGCTGGCAAAACCAGCAGAGACAGCTGATCTGAACAGGGGAGAGCTCTTGGCCCCCAGACTGACAGTGGGGAGGCCAGCATGGGACTGATCCACACCTCCCAATGTGAGAGTCAGTGAGGAGGTCTGGGCAACCTATGGGGCCCTGAGCAGTGGATCAGTGTTTATCCCTGGAATACAAACAGACATAGTGTGTCCCTAACACAAAGAGGGATGCTCTCTCAGCCTGGACTCTTAGGGGAGTGCCTGGACCCTACCCTGAATGAAATGGCAGACTCTAGATATCCCCTATGTGGAAGGAATTGGCAATAGGGTGGGAGGCTGGGGAGGGATGGTGGGGGGGGTGCGGGAGGAGGGGAGGGAGAGGGAACTGGGATTGACATGTAAAACAAGCTATTTAAAATTAAAAAAAAAAAAAAGCCAGGCATGGTGGCCTACCCTTGTAACCCTAGCTCTGAGGAGGCTGAGACAAGAGGATTTTTAGGGCTCTCTGTCTAGCCAGTGTAGCCTAACAGTTGAGTCTCAGGTCCCAGTGAAAGACTCACACACACACACACACACACACACACACACACACACACACACACACGCACGCACGCACGCACGCACGCACGCACGCACGCACGCACACAGTGGGGAGAATGAGATAGAAGGTATGGTTTCATGAGTCACATGTGTTTGACCCTTGGATGAAAACCCAGCAGGGGTGCGTGGAGGAGTTGCTGTGTAAACCAGTGTCACTGTTGCTCACCAGGCTTGGGAAAGACAAACAAGGCTGAGTCAATATGGAGGTGGTTTCTTTGGCACAACCCACCCACCATTCAGAACCCAGCCTGCCCTAAGCCTCCAGCTTCATTTGAGGAGAACCTGGTGGCTCACAGGCTCTGTCTATGGCCTCCTGCTTCAGCCCGTCCCAATCTGTGCCTGCTCAGTCGCCTGGAGCTGTGCTGGCTCATGGCCACTCCTGGTTTTCTTGTTTTGTTTTTCTGGGTTCACTGCAACTTCATTTAGTTACCATGGAAAGCAAAGAATGACCTTCTGGGTCAGTTGCTTTGGGAACAAAATTTAGATGCATCACGTCTGCCTGTCCTAGATGCCTTCACAGCCCTTTGTGCCTGGGCCAGCACTCTGCCCTTGTCCCTTCTGTCCTAGAGGCTGGCTTGCTGTACTGCCAGAGCCAGAGCAGCAAGAGGCCACTTCTCAGCCTTCACTTGGCTTTGGAGTGTGGGGGATGAGAAGGGAGGCCTGGAAGAGATTGGGGGATGGGGGAGTGACTGGTGCTTCGCTTGGGACCTCCCTGAGGGCAGGGGCTAGTCCCAGCTATCCAGATTCCCCAAACCTTGCCCCCTTCTTGTCCTTGATGACTTCAAACTTCTGCTCATCCCGTTCAGGCCTGTAGCCACAGCATTCTGGCTTCAGAGCAACCTGGGTGTGAGTCCTGTCCCTCACTGTGCTGTCAGCTTCTCGTCACTGTCATCGCTTTCCTGAGAGAATTCACTTGCAAAGTGGAAGGTTTGTTTGGGCACAGGGTTTTGGAGGTTCTAGTCCAGGACTAGACCCAGCTGCATTGAGGGCTGGCTTTAAAGGAGGGACACAGGTGACTCAGACACTGGCTCAGGAGATTGTCCTTCAGACCCTGGGCTTGGAAGAGATGAGTCCCAGGTGGGCGGCCTCTGGATTTCTCTTAACAGAGCACCACACTAGGTCCAGCTTGTATCACAGTCAGGGCTGAGCAGCCCTGCACTGGCTGATGGGCACTGCAGTAGGGATGGACACCTTGGTGAGGAGAAGCTAACAGGCTGTTCTCTGTCTGCTAGTCAGAACTGAGTGCGCGGAAGAATCTACCTGAGAAGTCCTGGGTCCAGACGCAAAGGCAGTTCCTGGACAGAGGCCTCCCTCAGGCATGGCTCAGTATGTACGTGGTCACACAGACCAGAGCCTTCATCCTCCCAGAGGCCCAGTGAGGCACATGCTTCTGGGTTCCTAGCAGGTGGGCAACTGTCCTTGTGGGGTAGAGGACACCCTGCAGTGCCATGACAAGAGGTAGTGACAGCATTTCCATTTCCATGGAGCCAGTGTTGAGACCAGACAGGCTGGATTCATGCATTTGAGAACAAAATCTTCCAACTCAGAAGGCCTTTTGGAGAAGGAGACTAAACACCCAGGGTTGAAGAGGGAATTCCCTGGGGGGATGACATCACTGCATTTAAATGGGAGTCTCCCTGATGTAATGAAACTTCACAGCCAACAATTACACCCACCCCATTCTCTCGAAAACAACAGCCCTTGATGGAGGACAGCACTCCCCTTGATCCACCAGGGGGCACCTACCAAACTGTGAGAGACAAAGCAATGAGACTCACATCTTTATGACAGAGGGTAGGCGCCAACCCCCCCCCCCAGCTGTTTCATCGTAAGAGGGCACCCAGGCGCGCTTGAGAAGACAGTGCTAGTTGGCAGCTTGCAGACAACTGCTAACTCTTCAGGTTTCTACACACCTCCAAGGAGCAGAGGAGACTTTTACAATGACAAGTATTGTGAGGACTTTCCTACAGAAATACAAACAAATGTCTGTACCCCAGATTGAGTACTAACAGACACTGGAGTCTAGTTTAGGTGAATTACTGAGTTTATTGAGATACGTGTAGGAATCTGAGCAAGGAGTTACTTATAGAAGCATGGATGATACAAAGGCAGCTTCACCACTGAAAAGCCCAGCCCATCACAAAAGATTCACCCTGCGGCCCTGTGCCACTTGGAATCTTCTCCCCAGCAATTGCTGCTTACCTTGGGGTAGGCCTCAGCGATCATTTGTCTTCCAGGTGCATCCTGATCTAGCTGTCTTCCCTCCTGGGCCTTGCATTTCCCTTATTGCCCGAGTCTCAGGAACCTTCTTTCTCTTTTTAGAAAGGAAGTAATGTTTCATTGCATAGGAAACAGCTACACAGCAGGTTTACTGAAGACAGCACTGCTGTGATATAATTGTTTCTAATTTCCAAATAAGGAGACTTCAGTGACTGCATGCACAGGTGTGTGTGGCGTGTCCTGGGTGCGTGCATACCCATATTCTATTTCTGAGAAAACAGCTCTCTCTGCATGTGGATAACAGGACTTTTGGGCCCCAAATGCAGGTGGCACTTAGAAATTTACTTTCCCAGAAGCCCTAGGGTAAGAACTTTATTATTTTGTATACATCTACCTGTCTGCTTAAAGAAAGTCTCCACTTTGAGGACATGAACATGAGCTAAAACAGCTCGAGGCCCTGGGATGCTAGTCTTTTTTTCCCAATAACCCTTTGACACTTGCATCCAGCACCTGGGGGCTCCTGTCTTGTTCCTGGACTGGGCCTAACTGAAATGAAAACCTGTGTAAGTGAAAACAGTGCAACACAAAACTCAGTGTACACATATATAAGATTGTCCAAGAATTAAAAAAAAAAAGTGGACTCAAGGTATCAGCCACTAAGTCTGAGAAAGTCAATGGCCACAGGCCAAAGTTTATGACTTCCTGAAACACAGAGACTTCCAAGTTCATTTTCCACACATTGTTTCTAATGCAACAGTAATATGGGGTTAGGTATATGAAGCACATGTACCCCAGAAACCCAGAGAACAGCAAAGCTCCCAATGTCCCCCCAGCACCCCTGCCACTCATCACATGCATTAGAATCTGGTGTGTACCAGCAAGGAGCTTTTATTGGTCACTACACTGACATGACAGGGTTCACTAGTTCCTGTAGAGTGCAGCAGGGCCAGCAGCTGCACAGGAGCGTAGGTCCCGGCCCCACTTCCTAGGCAGAAGGGAGGGAATACTTTAATTGAATTGTAGGAATATCCACTAACCTCCAGAACACACTCATGAAGTACTGGCCTGTTCTCCGGAAGCCCATGCTCAGGTAGAGGGTCTCAGCGCCATGCTGTAAGACACTGGTCTCAAGGACAAGATCACGGTAGCCCTGGCCCCGTGCAAACTGGAGGACAGTTCTGACCAGTGCTTTCGCTATGCCCTGTCCTCGATGCTGTGAGGACACAGACAGGTGGAAGAGCTCCAGCTGCTTCCTCCCTAGTGGGGGATCCTTGACTGGCAGGCACCCCACTATGCCCACCACCTGGTCCCCAGACTCAGCCACCCAGAAGGAGCCATGTGCATTCAGGTAGGACTTGGTGATGTCAGCCATGTCTGTGTGCAAACACTTGGCCACATACTCCTTCCAGGGCTGTCTGGCAAGGAGCCGCATGAGAAAGAGCAGAAAGAAGATGCATATAATCGCTAGCAGCCAGGAGCCAGACACCAGAACCAGGGCAAGCAGCACCCCAAGTAAGAGCAGGAGGGTCCGGGGCAGCGTCAGCAGGTGGTGGAAGGTGGTGGGGATGTGCTCCTCCATGCCCCTTGTGAACAAGTCCAGGACACTTTTGCGGTCACTGTCCTGGTACTGGCGGATGTGGTAAGGAGCCATGGGAGACTTCTGGGTCTCAAATCTCGGCATCCAGGAGAGACAGCTCTACCTGCCTGCACACCTTCCCTGAGCCCTGCAGGAGAGAGAAGCCATGTGAGTCCCCTGACCTTCCCCCTCCCAACACCCATGTAGGCCCTGTTCGAGGGTGTGTCTTTTGCTGTCACCAGAGCGGAAGCGGACCCCGACACTGGGAAGAGACATTGTGTCAGCAGCACCTGATTACTCCCCTGCCTCCTCCCCTTTCTAGCCCCTAGCCATGGGGCACTGGGTATGTCCCTTCTCTCTGAGCAGGTGTCTCCACCTGCAGAGCAGGAAGAAAGAAGATCCGGTTTTAACTCTGTGACTTGTAGGCAGCACACATATGAATGGCTCCTTCTCTGTTGTTACCCAGTTACAGGCTCTTTGGTATTCAGCACTGAGACGCCACGTTTGTGCAGGAAGATGTGATGTCCTGAGAACTGTGTTTCCTATTCAAGCTCCCTACATCACAGTGCTGTCTTCCCGAGCTCAAGTTCTAGCAAAGCCTCTTCTTCCCCTATAGATCCAGTGAAAGGCAAAGCCCCAAGAACCCCACCTTTAAATATTGTGATATAGGCCCAACCTTGTTCTCTTTCTTCTGACCTGGTACCACAGAGTCAGGAGTGTCTGGAATGGTTCCCATCTCTGAGTAGCACTAAGTAGACATTGTCATCTGCCTTCCCTCTGGTCAGCAGACCGGGGTAGGGACCTCATTGGTAGCTCCAGAATAATTGTAATCCAAAGGTCAAGAACTGGAATGTGGCAGTGGAGGTGGCACACATCCATTTTCCTTGTGACCCCATGGAATACACCCAGCCGAGCAAGCTCTGGCGTGACACACTGGGCCCATGCTTGAGAAGCATGCCATCTGCTCGCGGTTTCCTCCACTTTCAGTGTTTGTCTCCAATTCCCAGCCTGACTGCCTGAATGCACCTGCTAAAGACAGTGGTTCTCAACCTGTGGTTAGGGACCCCAGGGGTATTACTGAATGACCCTTTCACAGGGGTCTCCTAACACCATCGGAAATATCAAATATTTACATTATGATTTGTAACAGTAAAATTACAATTATGAAGTATCAGTGAAAATAATTTTATGGTTTGGGGTCACCACAACATGAGGAGCTGTATTAAAGGGTTATAGCACTAGGAAAGTTGAGAACCACTGAGCTAGGAGGAACCTGGGGTCTGGTCACTTGCTATGCACTCATACCTCCCGGCTCAGTAGGGTCTTCATAACAGGGCTCTTTCCTGCCTCAGCTGTACCTGCTCCTACTAAGATGGAGCTGTAGTCCACACCGACATCTGCACTCCTTATCCATCATGTGGAGGACACAACTGTTGTGCCTTGCGAGCCCTTTTCAGTCCCAGCAGATCCATTTTCCAAATGACAGTCCCCAAGCAGGGCGGCTGCTGGAGCTCAGAGCCATGCTCACAGCCGGGGATCTTCTCGAACCAGCTAGCAGCAATACCACCTCACGATACAGGAAAGAGTGGCTCAGCCTGCTCTCTTCCCCACATCAACATGAGAGTTTTTAAAGAAAGTATGAGAATATTTGTGTCAGGAAGAAGAGAAAGGGAGTATTTTATTTATTTGTATTATTTATTTTTCTTTTTATTTCCTTTTTTTTTTTTTGGTTTTATGAGACAGGGTTTTTCTGTATTGTTTTGGAGGCTGTCGGTCCAGCCTAGCCTCGAACTCACAGAGATCCGCCTGCCTCTGCCTCCCGAGTGCTGGGATTAAAGGTGTGCGCCACCAACGCCCGGCTTGTATTATTTATTTTTCAAGACAGTGTCTCTCCACATAGCTACATAGCTGTTCTGGAACTCACTACATAGACCAGGGTGGCCTCAAACTCACACAGGTCCACCTGCCTCTATCTCCCCAGTGCCGAGATTAAAGGCGTGCGCCACCATGCCAAATGAAAGGGAATATTTTAGATAATGAAGGATTTTTGGATGGTAAAATAGGATTTTGCCCTGAGTAAAATGACTGGGTTTTTCCAAAATGAAAAGGAAAGAGAAAGATAGGAGGGCAAAACCCAGGAGCTGAATGAGTAGCGAAGGGTCACAGTGAGACACTCGGTCTCAGGCGCTGCGGTCCTGGGCTGTTCTGGGGACTCCTTAGGTCAAAACTAAGTACATCCACACAACGTGTTCACTTTTCTCCAAAGTCATCGTGGTCAGTATAACTCATTTGGTATTCCTATTATTTTACCAGCACCATTCAGAATTAAAAACCAAGCCAAACCACAATCTTGCCATTTTGGCAGTCCTGCTATTTAAAATCCTGTCCTATATGTCTTTACCTTGACAAAAGACATACCTTGTTGCTGTATACATAATTCACTTACAACATCTATGTGTGATCATTAACACTGTTCCCCATTATTGGTCCAAAGTTTATTTTTAAATAGTGCTGTAGACCTAATGCCCTAGCCAGCTACCTAAATTTTGCTACGCCTTTAATCCCAGCACTTGGGAGGCAGAGGCAGGCGGATCTCTGTGAGTTCGAGGCCAGCCTGGTCTACAAGAGTTAGTTCCAGGACAGCCTCCAAAGCCACAGAGAAACCCTGTCTCGAAAAACGAAAAAAAAAACCCACTGGACAGGTTGATTGATATCTATATCTATATATATTTATATTTATATATATGTGGGAGGAGGGCACTTTGGCTTTGTGTAATTCTTCCATGTGGTGATGCTAACTGTTGTTGGCTCCTTTACATATATTTATGCCTAAAACACATCAGTTAGGAAGCACTTTAAAAACTGTTTTCCTCCAAAACAAAACTGTTAATATGGCTAAGTGTGTTCATGAAGTCCTATATTTATCGACTATTTTAAGTAAGGATAATTCAACATGCCCTAACAGTGTACATTCTGAGCAATGCTTCCTAATGTTTAAGAGGCATTCGATAATGGGATTTAAATGCATTAGATAAATAGATTTAAAAGCATCTATAGACAAGAGTGCCATGGCTCAATTGGAGGTTAGAGAGCAAGTCTGTGGAGTTGTTTCTCTCCTTCCACCTTAGGTGGGTTCCGGAGATTTAAGCCAGGCTTCAGGCTTGCTGGGCTATCTCCTGGACAAAATACTTCATTTTTAAGTTAGTTTTCCCTGAGTATTTGCTCACTAGTTTTGTTTTGTGTTCTCCTTTAAGAATTATATGGCTATTGTCTGCAGACATTCTGCAAAAGTACAGTCTCTAATGGGGGAACTCCTTTGGTGTTTTTGGAGATGCTAGACCATCAATAACAAGAAAAACAAAATGTAAAAAAATAGACTCCAGGTAGGCCTAAGAGCCAGTCCTTCTATACCTCTTAGCTGCCTAAAACTGGTCACAAAGGGTTTTATTGGCACTGATTCCTTCACATCTGTCACTTGTTCCCACCCTCAACACAGAATCAGATCAATCCAACTGGGACAGGTCTCATCCCAGGGATGAGAGATACGATCAAACCACTACAGTCAAGAGAACATTCTTCAGAGACGTGGAAAGGTGTCAGACTCAGAATCATGTCACTTGAATAAAAGGGCTTACACTTGGAGAACAGTGTCCTCATGGGACCCAGAAACAAAACCAACAGCAAGAATGGAGTCACTGGCTTTCCAAAAGTAAAGTCAAGAAGTTACAGAGAAATGGCCCTTATGCATGGTTACCTGAGACTGTTTTCCAACTCTGGTTCACACTTTTATTATTTATGTTTGTTTTAGACAAAGGAATGTTTCAGAAATTCTCACTCCAAGTCATAGCTGCTCCTGCTACATAGGGTATGCTCTCTAACACACATCTTTATGTGCTAGAGAATTCTTTTGCAAGTAAGAAGACATTGCCATGGTGTCAAAATGTCATCTTTCCTATAATACAGATCTCAGAGTTCCTACTAGTAATGAAGAATGACTGTGGACAGATGGGGACACTTTCATATTCTGTATTAGGAAGACACACTTGCACTCCATACTGTAGACATGAACCAAAATGAACATATTAGATTAGCATGGGCACACTCTCGTTTGTTTTTAACTTCCCAGCCCAGCCATCCCTGAAGGAGTGTAAGGTTAAGATCAGTAGACTCCGAGTTTCAAAAAGTGCCTGAGTCCAAAGATCTGTAGATGAGGAACGAGTGCAAAGGGTAACGAAGCAAACACGGATAACACCTCTCAGAAACGTAGCTAACCACCCGACCGGGAGGCAAAAAGGAGCTCCAGGAAAGCTGGCTGTCTTTGCCGCCAGCCCTATCTCCTCGTTATATAATCTGCTGCCTGGAGATGAGGTGGAATGCATGCCTCCAAGATAATTAATCTGCTTTCTTCTTGGACTGCTGGCTCTCTGGATAAACCGTGATTTTAAGATTCAATCCCTTCCTCTATTTATTGGGTTCTCTGGCAAGTAGCACGAACCAAAATCTGGTTTCACCTTGGTGGCCATCCTTCCCCAGGAGTAGCGCCCTGGTCTTGCACAACTGCCTGAGGCGGATAGCTAGTTTATGGGAACTTAGCCCCAGCATCCTTTCAAAGAAACCTTATTATCCTCCCGTGTGCTCAAAAGACTTGCGTCTTTCCTCTGCCACAGCTGTGAGTGTCCACTTTGCCACTCAACCTCCAGGCACTAGAGGAGCTCCTTCAATGTGAGACTCCATCACACTGCACCCCCGTCTTCACCCCCGACAGCACACTCAGTAAACTGAGTCTCAAAAGCTCTGAAAAACTGTGGCTCACGTCCTGGAAGAACCCGAGGCGGTTAAGCACAGGCTAAGAACAAAGCCGACACTCAACACCATACCTCAACTTCTGGGCCCGGCCCGTGGGTTCTTTGCACTCCCGACCCTGGGACCAACTCTGCACAGCGTCCGCAAGCAGCTGCAAGTAGTGACAGGAGTGCGCGCCAAATTTAGACTTGGACTGGGCCACGCCCACCAGGACCCGGAAACGGGGGTGGGTCGGAACCATGGGGCACTTCCGGAAGTGCAGAGCGTTGTTTCCGAGGGGACGATCTTCTGAAACGGACAGCAGACCGAAGGTGAGTTCCGCTCGGTGCGAGCGGCAGCTCTTTCCGCGCGGTCACAGTTTTGTGGGCGATGCGTGCGTCTCCCGTCGCCAGTGTTTGTCGCGAGTCCTCCCAGGCTCCCAGGTGGAGAGCGACGCAGCCTCGGAAGGGGAACTCGGGCCGGAAAGCCGCTCGGCTGAGCGCTCCGGGGCGCCCCCTGCAGGCGGTGCCCGCGGCTGATGCTCGAGGAGCCGAGTGGGGACCTCACAGCCACTGCGATGCCCAGCGCTGGGAAGGAGGCGTCTCGGAGAGCAGACCCCGACTCTCCCCGCGCCAGCGGCCTGGGCGAGAGGGACCGAGGCAGAAAGCCCCGAGGACAGGGACGTCCCTTGGGAAGCCTGAGCTGCGGAAGCTGAGGGCAGGCCATCGGGGCGGGAGAGGAGTCAGGCAGGGTTCAGATGCTACATGCGGGGACTGGGTGACATCAAGTTAGGGCTTTAGCTTCAGCTCTGACGTCCTTCTGAAGGACCCTGTGACCATCTGGATAGGTTACAATTGCATAACTGGTGGACAGGGCCTGGATGAGGATGCTCTTGAGCTGCTGTTGATGAGTGAGTCAGAATTAAGATTTGGGCACTGGACGTAGTGTAACAGTGAGAGGTATCTGCCTTAGACCACCTTCTGTTGCTAAAACACTTCATGGGGTAAAGTAACTTGTTTTGTTTTTCGAGACAGGGTGTCTCTATGTAGTCCTGGAACTCACTGGAGACCATACTGGCCTGGAACTTAGCCTCCTGCCTTCCTGTCAGGGAGTAGGTTAGAAGGATAGGAAAACTTGAATTCATAAGAGAATCGTTCTGAAGATATAAACCATTATTTTGATAATCCTACTACTGGATTAAAGAATTTTTTGAGTGCAAAGTCCTAATTGCTCTGGAGATAAACTTTATAATGTGGATTCATGATTTTTTTTTTAGTACAAAGTCCTAAACACCTTCCGAAGACTCCACCTGTCCCCAATTTTTAATCTCTCACATTTGGGAACTAGATTTCAACATGAATTTTACAAGTGTCAAAACAAGACCGATATTAAGTGATGATTCCAAAGTTTCTAGCCTAAATGACTCTTACACTAAACAAGAACAGACTATTCTGAGGCTAGGAGTTCTTTTCCCTTACTGTTAAAAATCAGACTAGGTGTTTGATTCCCAGTGTCTACACTGCACTTCACAAAAATCTGTAACTCCAGGTACATTGAATTCTGTGCCTTCTGACTGCCACAGGTACCAGGTAAGAATGTAGTACACAGACATAAATGCAGACAAACACTCATGTGAAAATATTTTTTTTCAAACAGATACTTGAAAAAACCAGGGAACGTCATTTTCTTCCCAGTTATAAGTACTTATGTTTTGTTTGATGACTGTAGAAAGTTCAGAACACAAGATATTTTAAGATTACAATAAAAATCACATAATCTCAGTACTCAAGATGTCTGCATTTTGTTGTTTCCTACATTTTTTCTGTTCATGCTTTTACATAACAGCATACTAATCCTAATGTACCATATCCTTTCTCAGTTAGATGCTAGCATGAAAAAAGACTGTATCAGGACATTATTTACAAAAGTTTTCTTTTCCTGTAACAGAAACCCTCAGACGTAATTCTAGAAAGTCAGAGATAATGCTCTATTATATTTAAATTTTGTGTGTTTTTCAATTTTTAATATTTATTATGTGTGTGGATGTTTTGCCTGTATGTGTGTATGTGCACCTCACGTGTGTCTGGTACCAACGGAGGTCAGAAGAGGGCATTGGATCGCCTGGGACTGGAGTTGCAAATGGTTGTGAACCACCATGTGGGTGCTGGGATTCAAGTCCTGGTCCTCTGCAAGAGCAGCCAGTGCTCTTAATGGCTGAACCAACTCTCTAGCCTGTTTGTTGTTTTGTTTTCTGAGGCAGGAGCTCATGAAACTCATGCTACCCTGGAGCTGAAGCTGTGTAGTCGAGGATGACTTTGATATTTTTCCAAATGAAACTGTAACTTTATACACATTGAATAGGATAAAATAGGATGGGCATAAACTAAGAAGGTACTCAGGAGAAAGAGTCAGTGCTATTTTGTTTGCAGGGAAGAAGGAGTCAGAAACTGGAACAAACTAGGATGTTGAGGAACACATTCCAAGACTGCCTCCAAAGTAACTAGATAACATAATATTAGGATTCAGGTGCCAAAGTTAATCTGCACATGTAATAAGGAATCCAAAATTCTGTTTAGTATGAGCAGTTTTGCATTAAATATGTAGTAGTTGTTTGCTTTTCAGAAAGTGATAGGGCAACTTTCAGAAGTGGTTTCTGTTATGCAAGTACTAGGAAATCTCAACTACAGTTAACTAGCTATGCTGTTCTCAGCACCATTAGGCTGCTTCAGTACTAGGAAATCTCAACTACAGTTAGCTAGCTATGCTGTCCTCAGTACCATTAGGCTGCTTCAGGCAAGTGTACCTTTCAGTGTAATACAGAACTAACATTTCAGGCTTTGTTGTTCTGGTTGTGGGCCTAGCCTTTGCTGCTTGAGCCACCTCTCCAGCCAGCATTTTGGGTATTTACATGGCAGCAGTAATTATATTTTGGGTTTTATTCTTGATGCTTACTATAGTTTTGTTTTTGAGGCAGGGTTTTACTGTGTAGCTCTGCCTGTCCTAGAACTCACTGTAGACCAGGCTGGCCTCAAACCCACAGAGATCCACCTGCCTCTGCCTCCTGAGTGCCGGAATTAAAGGCGTGTGTCAACATGCCTGGCTGATGCACACCATAGTTAAGACAACAGCTGATACACATAAATGAAGATGGTTGGATGTTAATGATAATCATGGTATTCTTGAAATAATGTTTATACAGAATAAACCAGTATTGATTAATTGGCATTTTACACACATCAACCAAGAAAACGAAAACAAAACCCCAACTATCAAAGGCAATCTTCCCTGTGTAGACTATGGTAATGCATTGAAAATGAATGTCAAAGTAATATAAAAGAACACCATGGTTTACCGGGGAGGGAAAATGACTGTTCCAGCCTTGTCAGTCATCCTTAGCAGGATGATAAGACATCAGGTTTCCAGGACTGTTGTAGCAAAGTCAGTAAATCTTTGGATGGTTTAACATCTGTAAAGCCAGGATAAGGCTACATCTTGAACTCTGAAGATGGAGCAGCCCTCCTTCAGCCATGCTGCCTGGCTCTGGAGGAGCTTCATGTGTACAGAGTTCAACTGTGTGTACAAATACTTGACCTCTTAGCCTCAGGAGTAGGTCTTTATAGTGCTTAATAATTTGTACCAAGATAAAAGTAGGCATGGTGTAATGGTAACTAGAGTTCCAGGTGTTGGTATGTCTGCCAGTCTGTCAGTTCCTTGGTGTTCTGCCCACTGATTTCACAGAGGTTATGTTGAACAAGGAAGACTGTCAACAGGACTGTTTCTCACTGTGAACGAATTTTTACGCTTTTAAAGATAAAGTGAAAATGTTCACTACGATCCTTAGGCATAATAATTATCTGTTTGGAGGGTATGTCTCAAATAGTCATCTTACTAATCATCTCTCTCAAGCCTTTTTGAGTACCTTGTGTACCTTATTAAAGCCCCATCCCAAGGAGTTTTCACCATTTATGTGGTCACTCCTTGTCCAAATCCCATACCAGCCAGTGAAGAGTTACCCCAACTAGCTGAACAGATGGACCATCATTGTTTGATTTCAGCCTGAGCCCAAGTTTTCTGTCCTGACCACTATACAAAATGACTTCAGGGATCCTTCATTTAATTCCTGCTCTACAAATTCCAGCATCATTATCTTACACTGTTGTCACTGTATAGTTCACATGGAAGGTCTTGTTACCAGCATCCTCTGAACTAGTGTTCCAGGGACTGAGGCCAGAATTACACGTTTCTCCTCTATATGAACTTAGTCTCATGTATTTGGAAGCAGCCTAAATATGATTTAAGATAAATATTTCTGTTTTGAAAGATGGGAGCAGAAGCCTCTGTCGAAATGGCTAGGCTGGCAGGGCTGCTGGAGAGGCAGTTTGGGCTTGGATTACTTTGTCTATCTACAAATATTCAAGAAAAGGGTAAAACCACATTTTTCTTTTCAGGTATTTCTAGACCACCTCCAGCTTTGAATTTCTGGTCCTCCTCTCCTGATTGCCTTGGGTCTGGATTGTAGATGAGCACTGTCACACTGGTTTTATCCAGTGCTCAGGACTGAACCCAAGCTTTTGTGCATGCTAGTCTAGCCCTCCACCAACTAAAGTTCCTCAGCCCCTCTTTTCAGTATCTTTTCTTTATAAGCAGCTTTTTAATTGTTTTAAGATTTTTATTTTCAATTTATGCATATATGTGTGTCTACATATGTATGTGCATGTTTGGGGGTGCCCTGGGAGCCGGAAGTAGTTGCGAGCCACCTGATATCGGTGCTGGGAACCAAACTCAGGTACTCTGCACGAACAGCAAGTGCCCATAACTGCTCAGCCATCTCTGCAGCTCCATGAGGAGCTTTTACAAAACCTCCACAGTTAGGCTGAGCATAGGCTGAGTGTGAGGGAACACGCTTGTGACCCCACTGCTAGTGTCTTAAGCAGTAGGGTTGGGAGTTCCAGGCCAGCCTGGCACAGAAAATGAGAATGACAAAGATTAAAGTGACACAGTAGCCATATTTTGCTTGTTTTTTTTTTCCCTGTGGTTTTGCTTAATGTTATTACTGCTTTGGCACATCAGCACTACAGTACTGATTTTGTTTGGTTTGAAGGCTGGGGCTGATGTGTTGAAAATTGAACTTGGCCTAGTACATGCTTGGCAAGTGCTTGATCCCTAAGCCATTTTTCCTGCAAACATGATGGCTTTTCATGGCTGGACCGTTGTTCTCAGCCTTTCAAGGTGATAAAAGGACATCTCGTTTTCTCGTTCTCAGGGTTCCAATTAGTTCCTTGAGAAATGGATCCTCAGATTGGCCCACCAAAGAATCAGGAAGTCTTCAGTGCTGGATCTCAGTAGTGGAGAGTGCGCTTAGCCTTTGTAAAGTCCTAACTTCAATCTCCCACTAAAAAGAGTGGTGGTTGAGATTGTTTTTAAATCATTTTTTGTAAGTATAGCTTGTCTGTCATACCTAGGACATCATTCACAGTAGGTGAGCCCTCACACTGAGCATATCCTATACTTATCTTACATCTTCCTGGTCAGCAGGAAGGTGTAGGTGGTGAGCCACAATTGTGTGCTTTCTGTCAATGCCATGTTGGAAAATATATCTTTGAGTGTATTGTGTTACTTATATTAACAGGTTTTGTTAAAGTATAAAGTAGATCAAGAATTTAGGAAGGATATGGTAAGTTAAGGTCTTACTAATGTCGTAGTAGTCTGAGATCCATCATCTGGCTTCCTGCCCTAGGTGTCTGCTAGGCAGTAGCCTCTTGACCATGCACAGAAGCTGCTCATCTTGCCAAACAGGGCACTGTGCACTTCCTTGGCTTTTCCCCAAGAATGGGAGAACTAGAAACAGCACGCACAACACAGTTAGGAACACTCCTTATGAAGGTGCCAAAGATGCTTTGGAAATGGACTTCCCTGCTTTAACAGTTCTATAGTTTATGAGGTTAATTTGTCAGCTCTAACCGTCAGCTTGACAACAGCCTTCAGAGTCACCTGAGAAGGGAGTCTCAATTGAGGAATTACGCAGATTGTATTGTCTATTGACCTATCTGTGATGGACTGCCTTGACTCTTGATTGTTGTGATGTAGAAGGTCCTAGCCCACTGAGGGCAACACCATTCTCTGGGCAGATGGTCCTGGGCTGTAATAAAAAGCTAATTAAGCAGAAGCCAGTGACTGAGTCGGCAAGCAGTGTACCTCTCTGGTTTCTGCCTTTGAGTTCTGGAAGTGTAAGACAAATAAATCCTTTCCTCCCCTAAGTTGCTTCTGGTCAGAGTGTTTCGTCACAGCAACGGAAATGAAGCTGGAACAGAAACGGGAAAGTAGATTGCAAGGGTTTTGTTAAGTTGGTTACAGCTGAATGTATTTTCACATGCAATTCTGGGACCTGGGGAGTAGGGGCAGGAGGATGGAGGTACAGAGCGAGCCTAGGACAGTGAGACTATCAGATGAGAGAGATGGGAATAACCGGGTGGGGAAGATGGGTACAATCTTTTACATGTAAAAACCTGCTGGTCTTTTGCTTTTGTCCAGTAGTGTCCTCCTTGTCTATGAAATGCAGTTATCACAGCAGTTGGACCTGTTTCCTGAATGCAGAGTGACCCTTCTGTTATTTAAAGATGTAAAAAATGCAGGAGACTTGAAAAAAAAAGCCATGGAAGGATCTATCAATGGCTCATTGATAAACCCTAATGTGGTAAGTACAAAATATGAGAATTAATTAACCATGCCAGGCATTTAAGAATATGCTAATTTTACCCTAATATTCTCTTATAGTCAGGTAAAAAGTGTTTGTTCATGACACACTTGGTGCTTTCAATTTAAAACAGCAAATAGAGTCGGAAGGTCTGTGGCCTAGCTGTGACCACTTGTATTTTGGCAGATGCTTGAGTTTTGTGCTTCTCATATGTGAAGTAGGAGCCTGCAGAAGAGTCATGGTGTCGTCTGTTGCTGTGTTTATAGTGTGGCTTATAAAAGAAAACAGCTAACCTGCTTACCATTTCAGAGGGTCAGTCTGGGACCGTCATAGCAGGAAGTGTGGCAGGAGGCAGGCAGGAGTGGCCCTGGGGCAGAAGCTAAGAGCTTACATCTTGTTCCCAAGATAGATACAGAGAATGCAACAGGACCTAGTGTGAGCCTTGGGTTTCAAAAGCCCATCCCCAGTAACACCTCAAGCCCAGTGACACCAGTGAAACCTCAAAGCTCATCCCAGTGGCAGACCTCTCCAACAGGACATGCCTCCTGTAATGGCTACTCATGGTTGTCAACTGACAACATCTGGAATGAACTAAAACCCAAAAACGGCTGGGCATACCGTTGAGGGAATTTTTGCGTAACTGGATCATTTGAAGTTAGAAGATACACTTCTAATCTAGTTCTTTGAGGTGGGAAAACCCACCTTTACTCTGGGACACCCCTTCTTCTTGGAAGCCTATATAAAGGACATGGAAAAAGGAAACTTTTTCAACTGTGGGCTCCTGTAAAATAAAAAACTAAGTAATGTTTTACTTCAAGAGAGAAGAACCACAGCACAGTCACAGTCAAATCAAAGCCAAGCCAAGTTCCAGCTGTGTAAACAACACAATGTCCAATGCCTGGGATCCACTCATGGTCTTCTGGACTCCCACAAAGGGCTTGGGTCTTCTCCAGCTCCGCCCTCTGCAGCACACACAGCTGTCTTCTAGGCTCTGACAGGCTCCACTCTACCGCTGCTGCTGTTCTCAGTGGCCCTGCATCTCCAAAATGCTACGGTCTTCCACAGCTGGGCCACACCCTCACAGTGGCCTCTCACAGTCCCGAACCTCAGCTGCTCTCCATGACCCCTTCATGGCTTCAAAACCAGTATGACCTGGGTGACTCTTACACTGCCACATTTGACTGCCTGCACAAGTACAACCTTGACTACATCTGGAGCACTGTATGCTGTCAGGAAAACCTCCCAAAAGATTTCCCCTCAGTGATACTGGTGTCTTGTTAACCACCGCTAGTTTCTCAGTCCCAGCTAGCCAGCATCAATTGTCCCAGTGACTCCAAGCTTTCTTTTCAATAGTGCTGCGCTCTCGTTAATCATGGCTGACTCTTCAGTCCCAGTTTACCAGATCCCACAGAGTTTTCATACAAAAGACCAGGGCACAGAGTCTTTGCTTCCCTCTGAAACTTCACAAGACAGGGCTCCATTGTCTGTACTGCTCTCAACATTTGTGTCTTCCAAGCTCCTACGGGACAGTGCACTGAGTTCTCAATACCCGGTGGCTTCTCTAGCCCAAAGTTACAAAGTCTTTCCACAAGCCTCTCCAAAGCAACATGGTGAGGTCTGTGACAGCACAACTCCACTATCCTGGTGCCAACTCCTTTCTTAGTTAGGTTCACAATTGCTGTGATGAAACACCATGACCAAAGCAGCTCGGGGAGAGAAGGGCTTATTCAGCTCACACTTCCACATCACTGTTCATTATCAAAGGAAGACAGGACAGGAGCTCAGACAGGGCTGGACCCTGGAGGCGGGAGCTTACACAGACGCCTTGGAGGGGTGCTGCTCAACCACTTGCCCCAATGGCTTGCTCAACCTGCTTTCTTATAGAACCCAGGGCCACTTGCCCAGGGGTGGCAGCACCCACAATAGACTGGGCCCTCTCACACCAATCACTGGGCCTATCGCCTGATCTTATTGAGACAATTTCTCAGTTGAGGTTTCCTCCTCTCCAGTGACTCTAGCTTGTGTCAAGTTGACATAAAACTGGTCAGCACACTTTCCAGTCCTTCCTAAACAACCACCAACCGAGAACCAAACATTCAAGTATATGAACCTATGGGAGCCACTGTCATTCAAACCGCCACAAATGGCAAAGTGGTTAATAGTCACATTAAGGCGTGAGGCTCCCACTTAGTGAGGAAGTCACAGCCATCTTTGTATGATGTGTGCTCCTGTTGTGTGCATTGTGCATGTCCTAACAACAGTCCTGCAAGGTGAGGACTGTGCATTGTCTCCCCTGATAGGTAAGACAGTAAGCAACTTGCCTCATTCCCCATGTGGTAAGCAATAGTGCTGGGATTGACCACCGCCGCCACCACCACCCCAGCATCTAGTTACCTCATCTGTTACACTAGCAACACTGACTTCATTGAGTATGGGGGGATTAAAGAAAACAACACTGTTGTAGTTTAGGATGTGACCTGTTCTGTATAGCCTGCAAGAATCTTGAGCTTTAAGGTTCTATAATGTTTTGTGTTGTCTAAGCCATTGAGGCCATAGTTTAAAATGCCGCCCATAGGAATGGTGAACAAATAAACAGCTGGACCAGAGTTACATCAGGGGGGCACGTGGTTCAGAAAGCTCCTGGTTCTCTCTGTGCTAATCTCTGTTTTCTCTCTGGTAGATCGTTGATCCATTTCAGATTCTTGTGGCAGCAAACAAAGCTGTTCATCTCCACAAACTGGGAAAAATGAAGACAAGGACTCTGTCTACTGAAATCATCTTCAACCTCTCCCCAAATAACAATGTAATGTGGTGACTGACTTTATTTCTGTTGGTCTTGTCACTGTAGAATGTGCCCCCCCCATAGTACTGGGTCGCAGGTTCCTCCAAGCCAGCTGTTAGTGCTAAGCCAAAATAGTTACGTAGAGAGGTCTAGACAGAGACATTTAGTACTGCAAGCAGTTGTGGATTCAGCTTCCTGGTCAGTCAAAGTTTAAACTACATGAGGCTGGAATTAATCTGCTCTGCCCATGTTATGTTAAGTAGACCCCTTGAGCAATTTTGCTTAAGAAACTGGCAGAAACCCACACGATAAAATGTGAAGTATAGATACATTTTGTGTCACTCTCCCTGTAAACTCCTAGAGATGGGATGTGTGTCTTTTTTATAGTCAGTACCAGGAACTTTCTGTGGCCTGGTAGAGCCGTTGATGCCTGCTCACTCACACACCAGGGCGTATAAAAACTCATAGTTTGAAATCTTCATAGGAATGTACCTCCCCTTGGGGGGGGGGTGTTGTGTGTGCATGTATTTATGGTTGTGTGTATGCAGATTCATGTGTGGGAATATGGGCACCTGGGTACCACAATGAGATTGTGAAGGTCTAGAGGATGACCTCAGGTGGATGACCTCGGGCGGATGACCTCAGGTGGTCCTTGCCTTGTACCTTGTTCCAAACAAGATCTCTTTGTTTTTCACCACTGTGTACGCCTGGCCTTCAAGCTTCTTGATTCTTCTGTCTCTGCCTCCTATCTTGCTGTACCAGCACTGGGGTTATAGACTGTCACTGTTGTGCCTGGCTTTACATGGGCTAGGGATTTGAACCAAGATCCTCATACTGGTGTGACAAGTTCTTTAACCACTGAGCCATCTCCCCAGCCCAAGAGTGCTTTTTAAATGGAAGTTATTGAGGTGATGGCATTCTGTGTGTGACATAAGAAAAAGATGTCTGAACTCAGCTGATGAAGTTCCAGCATTACTACTGCTGTTAATAACAACCAGGTACTAATATCAAAGGGAAAATTTGGAACCCTATGGCAAGAATTAAATCACACTTGGTTGCAAAGTTTATAAAATGCAGTCAGCATGGCTGCAGAACTCCCCATTAATGGAATCATTGGAAATAATTGGAGATATTATTCCTGCTCAAAATGCAATTCTAGGGGCAGCAGAGAAAAGTGTGATCTTGAGAAGCAGATGACTAAGACAAAAGTTAAGCTGCCCTAAGATAAATGACAATAGGAATACAAATTATGGTCTGGAAGGTCACTTGGATATAGAGGCAGGGGTGGTAATTGCAAAGCCAAGAAGTCTGGGCTTGATCCGGAGGAGAATAGTACAGCTGTAATCAGGGGACAGGGATAGTAGGTGCTGGATAGAGATTGTTAAAGAGGAAAGTACACTGAGAAACTGGGAGGCTGACTGAGCAGGTCAGGAGTATTCCAGACAGAAGATGCTGACTCATTTACCATTGTTTTTTTTATCATAGATTTCAGAGGCTTTGAAGAAATTTGGTATCTCAGAAAGTAACACTTCAGTTCTCATTGTTTGCATTGAAGAAGGAGAAAAACAAATACACCAAGAACACCTAATATCTCAAGTGGAAGGCCAGCAGGTACCTTTGGAATGTCTTCCAGAAATAACAAAGCTCTCAGAAGTCAAAAAGGTTTGTAATGCACGTTACAGTTTGTTAACAGTTCAGTAGATGAATTATACTGATGCTGTTTGTTCATCATTGTTACAAATTTTGAACTATTCTATTAACATTTTAGTTAGCATACAAGATAATGGTATTCATTTCATTTTCACAAACCCTATTATTGCTTTTACTCATATCTGCCCCCTCTCACATTCCCTATACCTTTTGAACTTTAAAGAAGTAGTGTGGGACTGGAGAGGTGACTCAGCAGTTCTGAGTCAGCAGTTATTCCAGAGAACCCGGGTCTGAGTCCCAGCAAGTTCATAGCCATCTGTAACTCCAGTTCCAGAGGATCTGACGCCTGCTTCCGACCCTCGTGGTAACTGCACATGCATAGTGCACATATACAGAGACAAAACATCTTTACAGGCAAAATAAGAGAGGTTTAGAAATATTAAAATAATTACAGATACTTCATAAATGAAAAGAACTGGGACTTACAAGTTTGTGGAATGTAATTCAGAAGGGAATCACTGAGAACTGTGAGAAAAGGGATGTCTTTTGACATTCAGTGACTGTATGAAGTTAATATCTAGGTGTGGACTCCTAAAATTGATGCAAATGTGATTTGTATGTTCAGGAAATTTGGTTTTTTATATTAATAATTACATTTTAAAAGAATATTTGACTGTGCATTGGTGGTGCACGCCTTTAATCCCAGCACCCGGGAGGCAGAGGCAGGCAGATCTCTGTGAGTTCGAGGCCAGCCTGGTCTACAGAGCGAGTTCCAGGGCGGTCTCCAAAACAATACAGAGAAACCCTGTCTCGAAAAACCAAAACAATAAAAAGGATATTTGACATGTATGACAAAGTACCACCTACTTTGAACACTTTAAATATTTGCGATTTCAAATCATTAATTCCATAATCAAATGGCAATGCTGCATGTTAATGTAATAACAGTGTATTAACATGCCAACACTCATAGATTGTCATTCACTTTTACAGATATATAAACTGTCATCACAAGAAGAGAGTATTGGGACATTATTGGACGGTATCATTTGTAGGATGTCAACAAAGGATGTTTTATAAGATGCCCAAAACATCAACAGAAAAATCTCAGAGTTACTCACCAGCTGGTTTTTTCCTGGTTATAAAAATTAACATATCACTGAAAAAGGGAAAAGTAAACCTCTGCTAGCCCTACTTTTTTTTCACTTCTTAAAGATACCCCTGTCACTGTTTTTGCCATTGTCTTCCAGTCTGTTTGTATTTCAATACATTTTATTTTTGTACAATTGGAATAAAAAATGCAAGCACCTAGCTGGGAGGTAGTGGTGCACACCTTTAGTCCCAGCACTCGGGAGGTAGAGGCAGGCGGATCTCTGAGTTTGAGGCCAGCCTGGTCTACTGCTCAAGTTCCAGGACAGGCTCCATAGCTACAGAGAAACCCTGTCTTGAAAAACCAAAAGAGAGAAAATGTGCAAGCACCTACTGAGGGCTGCAGTGTTCAAGGCTCTTCCTCAGTTAGTGATCACCAGTTTGCATCTTGCTGTGTGCTGCTGCTTCTCCATGCTGCTCTTCTGATCCTTAGTATTTCATGAGTAAGAATTTGATGGGGAATGTCCTTCTGTGTATATGCTTCTCTTATTGGCTGATGAATAAAACACTGATTGTCCAGGCAGAAAGATAGGCATGGATGGGAGCCGAGGAGAATTCTGAGAGAGGAGGTGGAGAGAAGTTGCCAAAGAAACTAGAGGTCAGGACCCTTCTCTGGTAAGATAATACCATGTGGAAATACTTAGATTAATAGAAATGGGTTAATAATTAAGACAGAGGGGCTGGAGAGATGGCTCAGAGGTTAAGAGCACTGACTGCTCTTCCAGAGGTCATGAGTTCAATTCCCAGCAACCACATGGTGGTTCACAACCATCTGTAATGAGATCTGGTGCCCTCTTCTGATGTGTAGACATACATGGGGGCAGGGTGTTGTGTTCGTAATAAATAAATAAATCTTTAAAAAAAAATTAAGACAGAGCTAGCCAATAAGAAGCCCAAGACACCAGCCAACAGTTTTATAATTAATATAGGGTTCATGTGTTCATTTGGGGTTAAATGGCTGCTGGAAGCTCTGCAACCAGAATTTCTTTAACTCTAACCCCGGTATGATGACTCACTCCTACAGCCCAGGTACTCAGGGGGCTAAGGCAGGAGAAAGTCACACGTTTGATGTCAGCCTGAGATGTGCCACAAGTGCCAGATCAGCCTAAAGTACCATGTCAAATGCTATCTCAGTAAATGAATAATAAATATTTACTTCCTACAGCCACCTAGTTAGGTGGATATGTCTTTGGGCCCACTTTATACACGAGGCAACTAAAAGAGTGTAGCAATATTAACTATCCCAGTCATGTAACTAGTATAAAACCATATTTGATCTTTCATTTTTCTCATTTTATTTTGTATTTCGATTGTGTCAATCAAGATAGGCTTGGTCAAGGGTCAGCAAAGCTCTATGATGAGCCAGATAAGCACTTTTCTTCTCAAAGCCCATCTGGCTCCTGCTACAGTTACTCAACACCACCTCTGCAGTCTGAAAGCAGCCACAGAGGACACATATGTAGTGATTGACCTCTGTCCAGTAAATCTTGACTTGAACAAGTGGTGTGCAGCGCTGTAGCAAGGTTGGGCTGTGGACTTGGGCTTATTTAGGCCATAGTGACAGCCAGTCCCTAAAGCTCACTGGCTCAGGACAGCAGAAGCAGCTGTTATCTTCATTGTAGTGGGGATCAACGGGAAAATCCATAGCAGTGCTTTAGGAGCCCTGTCTGCTGAGCCTCTCAGCCTGGGCTTTTAGCTTATTCCACAACTGGACAGCAGCTCTGGGAATGGCGGAGCAGCTTGAAAGGATACACATGGAAGTGACAGGTACGATTCACCTGATTTCATTAAAACAGCTTATAGTGTAGTTCTGGGGTTGTTTTCTAGGTACCCCATACTCAGAATTCCCTTCTGAGTCATACTTAAGTACTTCCAGGGACAGGGGATGATGGAGAGCAAGTGACACTTGCTCAAGATTGTCCCAAAGGAAAGAAGTCTTGATTCCTCTTCCAAGTATTATGGAGAGATGAGACATGGTCTCAGCATTCCTGCCTCATGTCACAAGGGGCCACACTGAGTGTGCAGCTGGAAGCTCACCTCAGGAGAGTGCATACTCCTCTGGTGGATACTGGTGGGCTTTGGGTAATGGAGGTGGTCTCCCCGAAGCCCAAGGAGGCTGACCTAGGTGAGGATGGACAGAAATCCTACTGTGGGGACCATTAAGGCAAGAGTCAAGGAGAGCCATGGAACAAGAGTGAGGCATAGAGTCCCAGGAATCAAGTCACCTGTGTTTGGAGTGACATAGCAAGGGCTCTCTGTAGTTGAAATTGGTCCATGACAAGGTTTGTCAGGACGCCTCTGGAGTTAAGTCGTATCAGAGGTAATGCCACAATGAAACAGGACCCCATATTGCACAAGTGTCAGGGGTACCCGGAGCTCTGTGATCAGCAGTCTCTAGGTTGGGAGACACAACAAGATGCCCCACATCTCTAATAGCACCCCAGTGTTACAGATGAACTAGTTGAAAAAGAGGGACAGCCTTGCATACAGAAGCACCGGGCCACATCCCATCTCAGCCTTGTATCGAGTTCGCAAGATGCCCCGTCAGGCACAGGCACCTGTTTCCGGAGTCCCTGATCCTTTGAACTCAGGCTGGGTTCAGCCTCAATTCCAGGAGAGCCAACTGTGCTTCCATCCCCCTGAGCCCTCAGAAATGCAGAGCTGTATACGTGGCCTCCTTAAGTGGTGTGACATGTGGGACTGTCCACAACAGCCCTACAAGACTGGCCACTGCGAGGTGTCGTTTACACCCAGGTCTTCTCCAGAGCATCAGCCTCATGCTATCCTAGCCAACTCCTTACTCTGCTATGACAAAAGCAAAAACAAAAAAATCTGTGTCCTTCTCTCAGTTCCACATTCAGCTTCTGGTCTGTGACTCTACAGATGTTGTAAGCACAAAATACGTTTGTCCCGGAAACTGGAATGTTCTGCAGGTACCACCTACAGTGTTCGGGACACCTGCCTTGCCTTAGCTTTGGATGCTCTGCAAAGCTCTTGAGCCTTACCCAGCTGGCCTGTGGAACAGGACAGCACACAGATACCTGGCACTTCAGCCAACTGAAGCTGGGTGAGCTGCCCCCTCAGCAGAAACTTCTGATCCCCAAACTCAAAAGTGAAATATGTGCAGTAGTATTTTGCATTGTTCCTAACACAGCATTAATGTTGGGTTCAGTAAATAAATCATAGGCATCCCAGAAACCCAGAGTGTATCAGAGCCCCCAAACCCCCACCTACCCACTCATCACATGCATTAGAATCTGGTGTGCAGCCGGGCGTTGGTGGCGCACGCCTTTAATCTCAGCACTCGGGAGGCAGAGGCAGGCAGATCTCTGTGAGTTCGAGGCCAGCCTGGTCTACAGAGTGAGTTCCAGTACAGCCTCCAAAACAATACAGAGAAACCCTGTCTCGAAAAACCAAAATCCATAACCAAACAAGCCATTCAAAGCAACACACACACACACACACACACACTCACACACACACACACACACACACACACACACACACACACACACACACGAAACACCTCACCCCCATGAGGTGTTGTGGTATTAGCAACAGAAGGTGGTCTAAGTGCCCAAGTCCTGATTTCTATCTCCAAATCTTAATTCTGACTCACCCAACAACAGCACCCCAAGGGCGTCCTCATCGAGGTCCTGCCCACCGGTAATGCAATTGTAACCTATCCAGATGGTCACGGGGTCCTTCAGAAGCCCTAACTAGATGTCACCCGGTCCTGCATGTAGCATCTGGGCCCTGCCTGACTCCTCTCCCGCCCCGATGGCCTGCTCTCAGCTTCCGCGACTCAGGCTTCCCAAGGGACGTCCCTGTCCTCGGGGCTTTCTGCCTCGGTCCCTCCCTCCCTCCCAGGCCTCTGGCGCAGGGAGAGTCGGGGTCTGCTCTCCAAGGCACCTCCTTCCCAGCGCTGGGCATCGCAGTGGCTGTGAGGTCCCCACTCGGCTCCTCGAGCATCAGCCGCGGGCACCGCCTGCAGGGGGCGCCCCGGAGCGCGCAGCCGAGCGGCTTTCCGGCCCGAGTTCCCCTTCCGAGGCTGCGTCGCTCTCCACCTGGGAGCCTGGGAGGACTCGCGACAAACACTGGCGACGGGAGACGCACGCATCGCCCACAAAACTGTGACCGCGCGGAAAGAGCTGCCATTCGCAACGAGCGGAACTCATCCTCAGTCTGCTGTCCGTTTCAGAAGATCGTCCCCTCGGAAACAACGCTCTGCACTTCCGGAAGTGCCGGATCTCTGACCAAGTAGTGCTTCCGCCCGTGTGTGGGCAGCTTGTGGATGCTAAGGAAGCTTCTGGAAGGGGAACAGAATCTTGTCGGAACCTTTCTGTGGAAGGGTCCATGGCATGGGTGGAGGCTGGAAATTGAGGTCATGTTTTGAATCTACTAAAGTGGCTTTTGAGCGATGTCCCACTTTCTTCTGTGATAAGAAAAGTATTAACCTAAATGAAGTGAGTACACCTTTCGACTATTAGAGACGCCACTATCGGAGCTCTGCTTTGTGCTCTCCCAGCAGTCACTAGCATCCCTGGATCCCAGAGCCCTCAGCGATTTGTTTCTGAGACTTGCCTAACATGAGGTACGGTCCCTTTCTTTATCTAGAATAGTTTAGGAAGGTGATGCGTAATCCTTGAGCCTCCCAGCTAGACTAAACATGCCATAGCTTGTTTTCCGTTTTCCTTGGTTGGCGTTGATCTTTATACTTTTCTTTGCTTGGAAGGTGTCTGGTGACATGTGCAGTCAAAACAAAGGCACGGTGGGAATGCTAGACTGCCTGCGTACTTTCCTAGTTAGGATGGTGAAGAAAGCACATCAGAAAGGACCATTTTTGAATCGCTGATTGCGAGTGCCTTGGAGAGCAGCACCTCAGACAACAATTAAAGAATCCCAGCACTCAGGAGGCAGAGGCAGGTAGACGTCTGTGAGTTCAAGACCAGCTTGGTCTACAGAGCAAGTGCCAGGACAGCCAGCAATCCAGAGAAACCATACAGCCAAAGAAACCCGTCTCAGAAAACAAAAATAAAATCAACCAACAAAGAAAGGAAAAAAAGAATTCTAAAACAGGAAGCTGGCTTTCAGGCTTACATACATTGGTGTCTGTAGGCACGCTCGTGTCTTCTCTAGTTTTGGGGGTGGAACCCTGGGCTTTGTGCCAGTAGCAAACACTACCACTGAGCTACAACCTCATTTTGCTTTTAATTTTAAAATTCATTATGACCCAAGAAGACTGGCATCCAAGACCTGGTGTGGTAGTACAGGCCTCTGAGGTCAAGGCTAATCAGCTGTAAACAAGACCCTGTCTTGAAAAATAATAGACTGACATCCAGATGTATGTATGTATGTGTACACACACACACACACACATACACACACACAAATAGTTTAAAAAGTAGTTAAGAATAAATTATGAATGCCTGACAAAAATATGTTTAAGGAAAAAAATAAAACAACCCATATAAGAAGAGTCTCACCTTTAGTCATGGATATAATCCAAATTCAAAATAAGGAACAGCCTTATATATTACAGTTCTGTATGTAAAATGATACAAGCATTTTATAAGACTTCATACTGCTTTAAAATATTGATGTGAGTCACTAGGGATGTAACTCAATTGATAAAGTGCTTGCCTTGTGTCGGGGCTGCAGGCCTGTATCAGTCCTACGCTACAAGGGCCATCTATTCTGGACTGATGTCTTTTGGGGCTGCTATCAGAACCAGCTCCAGGTCCGATCCTGAGTTGGGGAGTGTGGATGAGGTAAGGCCTAGCTACCCAACGACATTAAGGATGAGATAGAGACATCTGGTCATAACAGTAGGGCTCCTAGTCAATACTGGAGAGCACAGTTTATTCCAGCATCATCTCAAATAGCTTTCCAAAAGCGGGGTGGGGGGGTACTGGCAGAAGACATTTATTATCATGTATAGAGCTGATCAAATATTTCCTTTAATCCTCGAGAGACTCCTAAACCACAGAAACTCACTAGCCTTCAGGGTGGGTGTAGGCTGTCCCAGGCCTAGGTCTTTTGTTACACAAACTAGGAGCTGTTCCCCACCGTGCACAGCCCCCCCCCATGTCTAAAAGATAATAGGAGTTCTGAGCTCCTAGAATTTTGTGGCTGAGCGGAGGCATATTTCTGAAATAGTACATTTACCCACCCCCAGCCTTGGAAAACTGAGTTGGATCTCTAGAACCCACACTTAAAAAAAAAAAAAAGACTTTGTAGTGTTTCATGCTTGTAATCCCAGCTCAAGGGAGGCAGAAACTTTGTTGCTTCCCAGCTCACTGGCCATCCAGCCTAGCTTACTTAGTCAATTCCACACTACTCTAAAACTTGTCTCAAAAAGAGACTGGGACTGGGTGTTCACATCTTTAATCCCAGCACCCAGGAGGCAGAGGCAGGCAAATCTCTGTGAGTTTGAAGTCAGCTGGGTCTACATAGAAAGTTCCAGATGAGCCAGAGTTACATAGTGAGATGCTGCCTCATACATCATGACACAAAAGATGGATGGTTCCCAAGGATGCCATTTGAAGTTGCCCTCTAGTTTCCATGTACATGCACAAATACACAAAGTGAAAACATTCCCAAGCCAAAGCGTGTGTGAAGCAGGTTCACTGTGCATTGGTTACCAATTTTTCTAAGTCAAGTGGGACAGAATGTCCCCATACAACTACAAACAGGCAATGACATGCTGAGGCCTGGAATCCACTGTGAGCTGGCCTCCCAAGACTCAGAAAAGCTGCCCAAAGTGGAAGAAATCCTGCTTATTCGTGCCCCCACTTAACCTGTTGTGCCCAAATTCTGAGACCTCCAAATTACCAAGACCCGTTTTGATGCAAAGCAGAGTCTTTTATTGTAGTTGTTTAATGAGCTAACCCCTTTAGCTCGGGCTCTTCATCCTTTCTTCGATGTGGATGCTTGAAGGACCTGAGAAACCCCGAGGGGGTTTATATCGGGGAGTGTCTAGGGGTAGGCAACAGTCTCAGGGCTGGTATGCTTCTGGGCTTGGACGACCTGTCCTATGTTGATTGGTCAACTGGTTGTTATGGCCCATAGGCCCTCCCAGGACGGTTGCTATGCTCTGCACATCATAGTTGTGCACTTATAAAAGCACAGCACGGCCAGCTGGCTTCTGATTGGTTCCTTGCCATTAGGGTATCTGACCTCCTAGAGAGTAGAACAGGAGGGGCAAGGTCAAGACTGCTAAAATAGGGGCAGGTCCTTTCACACCACAGCCAAGTGGGCCAAGAAAACACACCTTGGGTTTTTATAATTGGTGTATATGACAATATAATCCTTTGGGCCAATATATTAAAGGGCCTTCTGTTACTGATGAAGGCTGGACCAGAAGCTAGGCTCTTCTGGCATTCCAGGCCGCTACAGTACTTACTGTTCATCCTGTGACAGGATGAGCCCACTGATGTTGAATAACCAGCAGCCGGACACGAAGAGTTCACACTGACTCCATTTATATAAAAATTTATAATGCCTTTGGAAAAGGTCTGGATGGAAAAGGGTTACAGATATGTTCTAATTTCATTGTGGTTTATACATAGATACATGTAGAAATATACCAAAGCAATTTAAACATGGATAGTGTATGTCAATTTTATCTTTTAAATTATTTCAAAAAACACAATGAGACACTTTTTTTTTTTTTTTTTTTGGTTTTTGAGACAGGGTTTCTCTTTATTGTTTTGGAGAATGTCCTGGAACTAGCTCTTATAGACCAGGCTGACCTCGAACTCAGAGATCTGCCTGCCTCTACTTCTTGAGTGCTGGGATTAAAGGCATGCACCACCACATCTGGTTCGAGACAACATTTTTATTTAATCAAAATTGCTATGGCCGGGCATTGGTGGCGCACGCCTTTAATCCCAGCACTTGGGAGGCAGAGGCAGGCGGATCTCTGTGAGTTCGAGGTCAGCCTGGTCTCCGTAGTGAGTTCCAGGACAGCCTGTCTTGTAAAACCAAAAAAAAAAAAAAAAAAAAAAAAAAACCCTAAAATTTGAGTTAGATATTGCAAGAGGATGGGGAAGTGGGGACAGGTGGATCTCTGGGCCCGGCTGGCCAGTCAGCTTATTCAGGCAAGCTCTATGCCAATGAAATACTCTGTCTTAAAAACAAAGCAACTGTAACAACAACAAAACCAATGTACGGCTTGGTATGGTGGAGCATGCCTTTAATCCCAGCATTCAAGAGACAGAGGCAGGCGGATCTCTGACTTTGAGACCAGAGTGGTCTACATAGAGTTCCAGGACAGCCAGGGCTATACAGGGAAACCCAGTACTGAACAACCAAAAAAAAAAAAATCCAAAAACCCAACCCCAAATCCCAAACCCACCTCAAACCCAAGGTGGATAGTGCCTCTAGGAATAAACATCAGAGGTTGTCCTTGCCTTACAAACTGATGGTAAGGACTCAGGCATTATGCTGGCCTGCCTGTCACCAGGCAGAATGCACTCAAAGCAGTACCCCGGTCAGTCCAGGATCCCATAGTTGTGTAGTCTACACGCAGGTACAAAGGACCCCTTTAAAAGAAAGACCCCCTCCCCCCCCCCCACTTAGGCTTTCTTTCCTGCTGTTCCCCTGGGGCAGACAGGACTTTTCCTGTCTCTCTCTTCTCTTCTGTCCTCTCTGTCTCTTTACCTCTTCTCTCCTTCCTTACCCCCTTCCCTTTCTAATAAAACTTCTCACTTAAGCTCTGTCTGCCTAGCGTGTTTGTCCCCTGGCCTCGGTCACCCTCGCCTGCCATGGAATCCGCCAAGGTTCCCCTTGCACTTTACTAATTGTTAGTAAGGGTGTAATTGGAACACTCCTCTCTTCTTGGTGGGATACAAAGTAGTAGTACATCCGGGAAAGTTTGACAGTTTATTATAAAGTTAAATATACACGGCAGCAATCTCACTATCCCACTCCAAGGGAAAGAGATGTTCACATAAAACTCTGTACATAAAATGTCTATGGCAGGTTTAGAAGAAAACTACACACATACTCAAGTCTTTTAGCTGGTAAATGAATAAACAATGTGCAGGACAACCATATAATGGAGTAACTCGGCAATAGAGGGAAGTAAGCAGCAGATCCATTGTATAGCACAGGCCTCAGAAGCAGTTATCTAAATGAAAGAACCCCACCCAGAAGTCTCTATGCTAATTCCACCTGCACAGCAGTTTAGAAAAGATGAGAGGAAGAAACTAAATTAGCAGTTGCCAGGGGCTGGGTTGATGGGAGGAGCTGAGAAACTGGAGGAATTGGGAGGGTGGAGTTGAGGCTGTTGTATAGTCCTTTGTCAGGGGGCATGTAAGTGTATATACAATGAAATGCATTTTAGTTTTTTTTTAAAGGCATCTCAGAGCTATGACCCCTCTTCCTGCAGATGCCAGAGACCATTACATAGCAAATGCAAGTTGGTTTAAAAGGCTTGGCAGTGTTATGCTGTGAGGTGAACTTGCATAAACATTCACAATTGCTCTTGTGTGTTAAATTAAGTATAATCTTTTTTTTTTTTTTTTTTTTTTTTTTTGGTTTTTCCAGACAGGGTTTCTCTGTAGCTTTGAAGGCTGTCCTGGAACTCACTTTGTAGACCAGGCTGGCCTCGAACTCACAGAGATCCGCCTGCCTCTGCCTCCCGAGTGCTGGGAATAAAGGTGTGCGCCACCAACGCCCGGCCAATTAAGTATAATCTTAATCCCCATGTCATGCAAATACAAACCCAAATGAAATTTATTGATAGTTACCTTCAGTGCAACTGCTATTGGTGTTCTCAAAAGATTGGAGTGTCTGTAGCATGTTAAGTCAGTAGAAGAGCCTAGGTGTATCATTTCGTGTAAGGTTAAACAATTTTAAGAGCTCACGACTGCCAGATCTATAAAACACCTGAGGTCCTCTAGTAAGCAGACCCTGAGGCAAGAATTAAGTATCTGGTATTTTCTGATGTACACACAGAGAGATTAGGAAAAGGTCTTCAGCAGGGTACAAAGCCATGAGATAGAATGTGTTTGTTGCCCAGCTTTAGTAAGACGAGACACAGGCAGCCTGGCATGGGACTCTTAGACTTCACTTTCTCTGGAAGGCTCATTAGGTGAAAACTATGCAAGTAATCCACAGAAGAGGCCTGTTGGCCTGCTAGGCTCTTCCTATCCTCCTCAAGGGGACTGGATTTTACTCTCTTCTGGATCATCACCTCCCCCTCAGGCAGCAGCTCAGGAAGACTGATCCTATGGCCTATTGTATACCATTCCCCTTTAAAGTGGGGCCATAAAAAAAAAAAAAAAAAAGGACTCAGTGTGAAACTAGAGGTACCATGTAGGCCCAGAGTCATGTGTCCTAATTGGCTTGGAAATCTTTGGTTTAGTTTGTTTTTTTGAGACAGGGTTTCTTTGTGTAGCTCTGGCTGTCCTGGAACTCCCTCTAGACCAGGCTGGCTTTGAATTCAGAGATCTGCCTGCCTCTACCTCTGCCTCTGGAGTGCTGGGGAGGCAAAACAGGGTGTACCCTCCCCTCCCCTGCACAAAGGGGAACTGTCATCCAGGATGGGGTCAGGGACTCTGACATGGTGGCACAGAACCTAAAGGAGCATGATATATGAATTAAATAATGGCAATACAGTGTGTAGAAAGAGATCATTCATGGGGGTAGGGTTAGGGAGAAGACTTGAGTGGTTCATACAGTTGAGTACGAATGGCTAGCAGGCTCAGAGCCAAAGAACAACTTGAAAGATAAGACAGTGTATGACCTAGTATAACCACAAAATGGCTAGCATTCAAACAGAGAGGTACACAATACACCACAAAGGACTTGAAAGTCAGCTTCTGGCCAGATACAGAAAGCCTTGACAGGGAGAGCAACATGGAACCCCGAGACCATAAGCCATTTCACACTTCCAAGAGGAAAGAACACATATGGACTTGTTTTCACAGGACAATTCTGGGAAGCTGTTAGCTTTACTAGAAAGGATGTTTAATTAGGATCCCTCATAATGTGAGTATATTAAAGACATAATAGCCAAGATATAAAATGTAGCTTGTTTTTATTATTAAAGAGCTAACTCTTAGAAATTAATATTTCTAAGCCTGTACCTGTGTACCACTGTTCCAGAGAATGGGGCAAGATTAATTGAGCCCTGGAGTTCAAGGTCAGCCCAGGCAACATACTGAGACTCTGTGTCTGTTTTTTTTTTAAGCATATAGATAATATATTTATGTATCAGAAAATGTTTTCTTTTATATTTTTATTGTTTATATAAATCATTTAGATATATAAATCAGAAGGGGACTGGAGGTATAAGCCCCTGGGTTCAATCCCAGCACCCCCAGCCCAATATATCAGAAAAAAATACTAGAAAAAGAAATTAATGTGAAAAGGTTAAATAAAAATATATAACTTAATCAGAAGTTTCAGGAAAGAAAATCAAAGTCCAACTAGAAGTTGCCCTAGGGTTAGGGGTTAATGCTAATACAATATCATTAAATAAGATGTCTCAGCAGTTAGAGCAATGGCTGCTGTTCCAGGTCCCAGGTTCAGATTCCAGGTCTGACATGGCACAACTGTTTATAACTCTAGTTCCAGAGGATCTGACACCCTCACACAGACATAAACGCAGGCAGAACACCAAGAACATATAAATCTTAAAAATTTTTTCTTGCAATTTACCAGACTGAAAGGGCTCACTTGGTATATATCATTGTAGATAGAAAACACATTATAACATCTGAGATAAAGAAGACTCTAAGCCTTCAAGAGAAAAATCACAGGGCACAGACAAAGGTTCTAGATCAGAAAATACAGGATTTGAGTGAAAGTCCAGAACAGAAACAGATGTACTGAAGTGCCTACCTGAAACTGTAGCTATAGGAGCAGAGAAAGAATCGAACATGTATTTCTGTGATTCAGCCGCTCAAACCATTTACATCCCACCCAGCCCTGAGAAGCTGATCAAATGGGAAATTACAGTCACAAAGGTCGTACCCAGGGTCCAGGTCAGGAGCTATGTCCCAGGTGTGACGAATGGCAATGGGCTTGCTTCCTTTGCATCCAGTTGTGTTTCCTCAAATTCCTATATTAAAGCTCTAAGCCCCAGCATCTGAAATACCACTGCATTTGGGGACCAATAGAGTGAGCCCTGATCTAATGACTGACATCCTTGAGAACTATGGAGTACCTCAGCCTCACATCATCTGTGCCTGTCACAGCACATCAAGAGAGGGAGGCAGGGACTGAGTGGGAAGAGATGTAGTAAGACAGAGACCACATGAAGACAGTGAGGCACCAGCCATCTACAAAGACCAATTCTTGCTGACTCCTTCATTCCCACATCCAGAACTATGAGAGACAGAAAATTCCTGTACATTGCATTGCCCATCTGATACTTCACCATGGCAGGCCTACCAACTGAACTTGGAACCTAACTTGAACATTTAAGAAGCTCCAGGAAAGGAGTCAAACCAAAAGGGTCCATTACTCACAGAGATTGTTTATAATACTATCAGATATGGAGGATGAATTTGTGACGTATCAACAGAAAATGGCCAAACGAATGAGGCAAAAATGTGAAGGAAAGGGAAGACTTAAAAGAACTCACAACCAGCCGGGCATTGGTGGCGCACACCTTTAATCCCAGCACTCGGGAGGCAGAAGCAGGCGGATCTCGTGAGTTCAAGGCTTGTAGCAAGAAGCACTTCGAATCCGTTAAATGTGGCAAGTACAGAGAAACCTTAAGAGCCATCATCACTTGAGCATAGAGCAATCATTATCAAGAGCAAGTTAGCCCAGGCCAGAATAGTTGAACTGCTGAGCTTTCTCAGGGTCAGATGCCACAGGTTCATACACAGAGAGAAAAGAACTATCATGTGTACCATCAGTTGGTCAGTTTTACAAATCCTCAAAATCAGAGTTTTTTTTTTTTCAAAATCAGAGATTTTAAAGATGGAAGCCAAGGGGGCTGGAGAGATGGCTCAGAGGTTAAGAGCACTGACTGTTCTTCCAGAGGTCCTGAGTTCAATTCCCGGCAACCACATGGTGGCTCACAACCACCTTGAATGGTGCCCTCTGCTGACATGCAGGCAGAAGACTGTATACACAATTAATAAATAAAATTAAAAAGAAAAAAAAACTTAAAAAAAGATGGAAGCCAAGTTGCCCAGGCATTTACCAAACACTTGTTGTGGAATGACGTGCCACGATGAGCAACTTCCTGAGTGAGTTCTACAGATGAAGTAATTAGCACCTCTAAGTAGCCTGAAGTATGTTCCAGAGGAAGAGCACCATTATGATGTAGGAGCCACTGAACAGAGGTCCTCAGGGATAGCACCACCCTGATAACCAAGGGTGTATGGTCATTCTTAGTTTGTTTAACCTTTAAGATCTACAGAGGTTTCCCAAGCCTTCTGGACAGTTCTACCCTGTCAGATAAATTATAATTTAACCAGCACTCTGGTTACTTGACCAATTTAACAAATTTCTCTGGGTTAAATGGCTAACCTGGCAGTTCAGTAAGAAACTGATCAAATTTCAACGCTGACCACCAAGGAAAGAAAGAGCGTTAATCATAGGCCCACAGAGTAGGTGACAAAGAAATTGTCTCCTGGCTAGATTTTTAGTAGAAAATTTAAATGGTCCGGAAAAAAGAAATGTGTGAAGACTGTCAGTAACAGAACATGGTAAAACACTATGAACCTTTACCTACACATATGTATTATAAGCATGGGCAGAGGAAATATACAGGGAAAATAAAAGGCAATTAAAAAATTTCATAATAGTTTATCCATTCAGAAATCTTTGAGAAAAGCTGAAGCCTGGAATGAGAAGAGCTCTGAGCTACTATAATCACTGTGCATCCACCAGCAATGCAATTCATCTTTAAACTTAACACACATTAAAGAATAAAAGATTTTAAAAAGTTAAAAAATGTTTAAAAAATGTTTAATTCCTTTGACCTGATTTTATTAAAATTCATCCAGCTGTCTTCTGTTCAGCTCTGATCTCAGATGGCCCCTGTAACAGCCCCCAGGTGGGCCTCACTGAGTCCATCCCCAGTAAGCTGGGGAAAAAGGTCTTTGGTAACTACTAGAAGTCCACTTCTTATTCTGGGTTGCTTGACTGCCATTTGGCTTCAGGTTCCAGAAGAATCTTCTTTGCGAATAGTCCTCTCCAGCTGGACCAGGAGGAGGGATGAGGCCTCTCTGGTTTTGTGAAAATTTTCTTAAACAAGAAGTAATAATCATTATTAAGATTAACAAACACAAGGGGGGGGGTTGAAAAAAAAAGATTAACAAACACATCATAAGTTTGTAAAATAATAGAGATATTCTGATTTTACTCTTTCCTACCCTGGATAATCTTATCAGATAATCACTTATCTTTCTCTTCATTTTTTACAAGTGTGAGGACCTGGGTTGGCTACCCAGAACCCACAGAAAGCTGAGGAACAGTAGTAGCATGTGTCTGCAATCCTTATGACGAAGCGGGAAGCAGAGACAGGAGGATCCTGGAAGCTCAGGATAACTGGCCTAGCACATGCAGTGCAACCACAGGAGGCTTTATCTCAGACACACTGAAAGGTGACAGTGGAAGTTATCTTCTGGCCTCACACACAAGTCTTCCTTCCTCCCTCCCTCCGTCTCTGTCTGTCCCTCTGTCCCTCTGTCCCTCCCTCCCTCCCTCTCCCTCTCTCTCTCTCTCTCTCTCACACACACACACACACTCTCACTCAGTCACACTCGATTAGCTGTTTCTTTGGTCTCTATCCCTTTCATCTGTTTGACTGTTGTTACAGGAAGTTGTGAGCAACCATGCAGGTGCTGGGAACCAAACCTGAATCTTCTGCAAGAGCATGCTCCAGCTCCTGCTACTGCTTTTTATTATTATAAGCAACCTTTAATTTCAGTGGCTTTAAAAATGTCACAGCAGCCGGGCGGTGGTGGTGCATGCCTTTAATCCAAATATATATATATTATTAGTAGCTATTAATCTGGTTGTGGTTTTTATGAGCATTTGAGAGTCATGACTGTCAGACCGGGTCTGAATTTGTCTCCTTTCTAGACATTCTCACTGTGTGCAATCTTGGGTAGGACCACATCTCTAATTTCCATTCCTCAAGGTGGAGATTTTAAAATACATAACCCATAACTATGGTTGCTGCCTGCTACATCTGTTAAAGCAAGCCAGTAAATTGCTATTTTTTTAAAAGATTTATTTATTATGTATACAGTATCCCTGCAGGCTAGAAGGGGACACCAGATCTTATTACATATGGTAGTGTGCCACCATGTGGTGGCTGGGACTTGAACTCAGGACCTCTGGAAGAATAGCCAATGCTCTTAACCTCTGAACCATCTTTCCAGCCCCATTGTTACACTTTCAAAAAGATGCTGCTGGTGATGCTGAGAGTGGGAATAGCCCTTTTGAATCAGTTTTTTTTTTTTTTTTTTTTTTTTGGTTTTTCCAGACAGGGTTTCTCTGTGGCTTTGGAGCCTGTCCTGGAACTCACTTTGTAGACCAGGCTGGCCTCGAACTCACAGAGATCCGCCCACCTCTACCTCCCGAGTGCTGGGATTAAAGGTGTGTACCACCACCGCCAGGCTGCTACTAATAATCTTACAAGATATGATATTTTAGGTAGCGTCTTGACTAGGGTAAGGAAGCTACAGTTAGTGAGGCATTATTTTTGCATCTGTCAACAAGAGTGTTTCTGAAAAAGACTGAGGGATGAAGAGCACACTGAGTAAGGAAGACATGTCTTCCATGTGGACAGGCACCAGCCACCTGCCTGGGATTGCAACACAGCTACAAAGGCAGAAGAAAGGCAAACTTACCCTCGCTCCTGCCTTCAACCCCTCCCCAAAGCTTCTCAGGCCTTTCCTGGACTCCTACCGAGGATTGCTACGTTCCCTGGGTCTCCCTCAGGCTTACAGAGGGCTTGTTGAGGGACTTCTCAACCTACAGTCACACATGCTAATACTCTAGTAAAGGCCCCTTCTCACCTACCTGCCCACACTCTCTCCCTTTCTCTGGAGAATCCTAACAAACTATTTTAACTGAAGTGAGGATTCTTCCATTTTCCAAGTGAAATACTTTTATGATTTAATCTGTTCATATCATTTGTAACTATCTCTATCAGGATTTTACTATCTTTCAAAATTTGCTTTCTTTCTCTGATTTTGGCTTTTTTTGGTGTGTGTGTGTGTGTGTGTGTGTGTGTGTGTGTGTGTGTGTGTGTGTGTGTGTGTGTGTGTGTAAGAGTCTTTTGTAGTCTAGACTGACCTCAAGCTTACTATGCAGCCAGTGATGAATTTCTAATCTTCCTGTCTCTACCTCCCAGCGTCGGGATTACAGGCACCCACTAACTATGGAGCCTAAGAGTTCAGGATTCTTAAAACCTAGGGATGTGTCTCAGAGGTAGAATCTTGGGTCTAATTCCATTCACACACACAAGAATGTACAATTTTATTTTCTAGTAGCCTATCTAACTCTTCCTGGATTAAACTAAATTTAAAAATAATTAAAATTTCCTTTCTCCATTTCCTCTGAAGAGCACATTTCCCAAGCAGTATTTGATTTAAAGAATGGTATGGGCCCTACTGGCTGACAGTGAGGAAGAAAATACCAATTGCTGGTCATTATCACAGTATGCTTTCCTGGTTTGAAGTAGTTTCCATCTCAACTCTAAGGGAGAAGCACAGGTACCTGAACGACTGCTGTGTATTCTGGGTCTGGGTATGAAAATGCCGATAAGGTGGTGGACGGCCAGCAGGCTGGTTGTTCCGAGGTCCTTGGCTCATAGGCTTGTTGGTGCTGTGAACTTGGTCCATAAGATGTGCTGAGTCTTCAAGATCACCTGACCTAGATGTACTAACATTCCGGTTCCTAAAAGAGAAGTGTCTCACAGTGTCACCAGATTCCAGTTCCAGTGGCCAGCTTAGTAACTATGTACTTTGGCTTGTGAAGATAAGATCTCAACTCCTCCATTCTTATTTGTTTAGGTTTTACCCAGCAAGTGAGCAAGCAAGATGTCTTGAATCATATAAAAGCACCTTTCCAAACTGTGAGCATCCAGGCACACTTTGGCCCCACCCCTTGTGGTGTAAGGCAAGCAGTACCCTGACTCTGTATGCATTTACAAAAGAGCCCTTTAAGAGGCAAGCTCCAGCTGGGCGTTGGTGGCGCACGCCTTTAATCCCAGCACTTGGGAGGCAGAGGCAGGCAGATCTCTTGAGTTCAAGGCCAGTATGGTCTACCAAGCGAGTTCCAGGACAGGCACCAAGACAATACAGAGGAATCCTGTCTCGAAAAACAAACAAAAAAAACCCACAAAAAAACAAAAAAAGGGCAAGCTCTGCCTACTCCCATTCTTTTTGTCGCTGTTCCTCTGAAGAAGCAGGCAAGTCTTTGCCTCTCTCTTTTTTCCTTCTCTCTCTCCCCGCTCCCTGCCCTTCCCTTCTTTTCTTCCCTCCCCCAGTAAAACTTCCCATGTAAGTTCTGTCTGTGTGGCATATTTGTCCCTCACCTGCCGCAGGACTACCTGCCAAGGTCCCACTTATAACACTAACCACAAATCTCACTTAGCAAAATGGAAGACTTACTTTCTGACATGACGATTCTGTAGGTTTTCAATGTAGTTCTGTCTTTCTATGCAGTGCCCCCGGCACCTGTTGAATACTAAGGAGTGGATGAAGATAACAGTTAGAAACAGTTGTACAAAAAATCTTACCCAGAGAAAGCAAACCAAAGCTCATATTCATTGACTAATCATTAGGCCGTTACATCCGGCATATCGCTTGCAGATATGTTCCTTCATAAACTTTTGGCAAAAGACTACCTTATACTACTATTATTATTTTTTCTTTCTTTTGGAACTGGAGATCAAACTCAGGTTTCCACACATGCTGAGCAAGTGCTTTACCACTGAGCTACACCTCCAACCCCAAGAGGTAGCTTTCCTTCCTTCTCTCTCTTCATTTTCTTTTTGGCATCTTATAAGATTTTTTTTTTCCAAAAATTGAAAAGCGGCTCTACACTTGCACCTTTAGCTTTTACAGGAAGGGAAAAACAGTGACAGCCCCATACTTACATTCAATTGCATCATCTGGCCTCATGCCTTCTACATCAATCAAATATCTAACAAAACAACATAATTTGGGTCACTTAAATATACGAAAAGAAAAACAAAAATCAAAACAGGTCCAATTTCACTTACAAGTGGAGACATATAAATCCTAAGAAAATACTATATATCTAACCCAATAGTTACAGAATAACATGCCATGACCATAGAAAAAAACTATCCCAAGACTGATCAACTTTAGAAATTAACAAAGGTACTTTTACATTAATATAATAACTAATAAAGGAAGTTCATGACCAAACTGGAAAATGCTTAAAAGGCAAATTCAGTAGTCATTTTCATCAAAAGACTTTGTGAACTAAAAAACAGGAGGCTTCCTTAATATTACTGTGTATCCATCAGGAACCAACAACATATAGAGCGGCTGGGAAAAATAGTAACATAGTAAAAATGCCAACTGCATGGGTCAGAAACAGGAGCTACCATCACTGTCACCCACTCCTCCCTCATCCTCACCTTCCATCTACCACCAGGGTCCTGACAGTGATGACCACATCTGACCTCGACATCCTGGTCCAAGTGACCATTACTTCAATTCATTCAAAAACCTAATTACTCTACCTCTCTAGAACATTCTTTACTCAGCAGAAATAGATGGGTTTAACAAACCCCAAAAAGGTTCAACCACAAAACAAACAGACAGACCAAAACCCTGCTTTGCGTGCCTAACTCTGGCTTCTGCTGCACCCGCAGCTCCATTTCTGTGCCGTACTTACTACACTGTGCACCTCTTCCAATGAAGTATATGCTATCCTAATTTAGGGTCCTGGCTGAGCCTTACATCCACAGTCTCTGCAGTGTCCCTACTCAGCTAGTACTAGTTCAACTTCAGATAGTCTCTTTGTAGAAATGTACTGTCTTCTTGATAAGTCATGGCCTTCCCATCATGGTACCATGTTCCTGTCCTCTTCAGCACTTGACAGTGATAGTTCTATATCTTATTATTATTTTTATTATTATAGTCTTCCTTACGTCTTCAGAGGCAGGTTAAATTTCTTTACCTGAATGGGCAAATGTAACACCACACAGCACAGCAATGCCTTAAGAACCATCAGACTGCATCCTAATTCAGAATCTGCATGTCAAGTGAGATTACTGCTAAGTCAGTGATATGTGGATCCAAAGATGCTCACACCACTTTGATGTTTTATCATACCCCAAACTTCTGATTTACATGTTTATCAGAATGCAAACCAGTATAACCTTTAAAAAAATAAGGTCTCCAAATAGTTCCACAGGAAGCTACCTACTGCATATTAAATTGTAACCCTAAATGTCTACTGTACTTTAAGCCATAAAGCTGAACGTCTATCTGCATCTGTGAAGTCTACAATGGTATTACTGATGGCAGTCTCTGAGTGGAGACAACACTGCTCTATACTTCACCCATTTCTATGTAAGTTTACATTACCACTGTAACCAGACAAACACACTAAACACATTTGGCTTTTGGGTTGGCAACTTACCTGCAAATGAGGTAGCCAGTCCTGTTTAAACCATGGGTGCAGTGGACACCAATAAGTTTGTCTATAAAACAAGACATGCAGAATTAAGTAAAGGAAACAAGATACATCAAAAATAAGTTAAAGACAATTTTCTAAAGAGTAACACAAATTAGTAAAGTGGCTTTAGAAACACGTTATTGAGAATCACCTACCAAAATCTCATAGTTGTGGAAATTTTCCAAGTACTGGTTAGACACAATAATGCAAACTGTAGAAGCACCCATCAGGTTAATGCTGCATTAGACAAAGCCATTTGTTTTACCATGAAGAGGAAACTGGAATGTATTTATGTGTTTGCAATGCTGAAGTCTGAACCTGGACCTATGCAAGTCAGGCAAGTGCTCAGCAATTAAGCTACAGACCTCAGCCCACCTTCATTTTTGCTGGTAAATAACAACCACAACTTTATTCAAAATGGAAAAAACAGCAGAAACACCTGAAGTATGTGTGGCAAAGATGAAATTCTGTTGGCCTACTTGTGCTCTGATCTCCTGGGAGACTGCTTCACTCCTAACGTTGGTCTTCTAGGAGACTGACTCACTCTTAACCTTTGTCTTTTATTGTCTCTTTATGTAACTTGAAGACCCAGAGACTATCTTCTACATCTCACCCCTTAGCCACAGGAAAAGGGAAACACTCCCATGATATTATACATTTACATTTATCACTCAAGTCTTGTTTCTGTGTGGCCAACACTTTAATACTGCCAATTGACGTTCTCAAAAACAACAGACCTAACATAGAATATTAACAACATCAAGAGTCTGAAATATCAAAAGTTTGGAAACTGCACTGGAGAGATGGAGGCTCAGTACTTGAGAGCACATCTGCTCTTGAAGAGGGCACAAATTCAGTTTTCCATCACCCATGATGTATGGCTCACAACTGTCCATAACTTAGTTAGAGGGAATCTGAAGCCTCTGGACTCTTGAGTACCTGCCTTCATATGCACATAGCTACAAGCACATACACACACAATTAAAATAGATTTTAAAAAGTGTTCAAACCTATTCAAAACGTGTAAGTCAGACAGAAAAGAAAAAGAAACCACAAGGACTCACCATTGTCTTTATTTTTCTTTAAAAATTCTTTAACTGCACATTTGAACTTAAAAATAGTGTTGTTGTCAGGTACCTGATGGCCAACTGTAAGAATTTTTATGTAAGAAATAGTTTCTGGCAAATCCTACAAAGCAAAACAAAGAAAAATGTACATTATTTCATTTGTAGGTACATATGAAAGGTTGAGGAAGGAGCATGAATATAAACTGACAATAATAAACTTACTATGGCAGCAATTCTGACTAAAGAGCCATAGCACGTGATCTTCATTAAAACTACAGGACAGTCACTAGGTATGCAAAACACGCCAAATTCCATGTGAAAGAGGGCATATATGGCGTGACTAAAAATTATGTGGACAGTTCTATCTAATTATGTCACCTTTCTGTGCCTTCACAAAGTAGTAATGAGCTGGGCAAAAGGAGCTGTGGATAACAGAAAGAAGGGATATGTGAGGGGCTGGAGAGATGGCTCAGTGCTTAAGAGTGCTTGCTGCTCTTCGAGGACGTAGTTCAGTTCTCAGCACCCATTCTGATGGCTCACAACAGCCTGTAACTCCTGCTTCAGAGGATCCGGACCTCTTCTGACCTCAGCAGGCACCTGCACACATGTGGCAGAGACACACACACACAGACACAGGCACACACACACACACACACAAAGAGACAGACAGACACACACACACACACACACACACACACAAAGAGACAGACAGACAGACACACACACACACACAGAGACAGACAGACAGACACACACAAAGAGACAGACACACACACACACACACAAAGAGACAGACAGACAGACACAAACACACACACACACAAAGAGACAGACAGACAGACACAGACACACACACAAACAACAAATCTTAGGGAAAAAAAGAGACGTTAGGTGAAAAATACATAACTCTGGATTTAAGTGGAAAGCATTATCATTATTTTTATACACAAAGTTCCACAAGAAAAGCTTCAGAACAATGTCAGTCTATTGGCAATGAATATACCTGACACTCATGTGCCTGAAAAATTACTCCCACTGAAAGGAAACAACCCCTTCTGCAAAGGTTGAGTCAGGCTGGGGAGGAAACAGTTAAGATAAGCCTGGAACTCTTTACCACAAAGTGATCAGGATACGTCAAAAGATTAGGACTGAGGCCGGGCGTTGGTGGCGCAAGCCTTTAATCCCAGCACTCAGGAGGCAGAGGCAGGTGGATCTCTGTGTATTCGAGGCCAGCCTGGTCTACAAAGGGAGTTCCAGGACAGCCTCCAAAGCTACAGAGAAACCCTGTCTCGAAAAACCAAAAAAAAAAAAAAAAAAAAAAAAAAAAGATTAGGACTGAAAAATGGTTTAATCTAGATCAGGAGCTTTGGCAGCTGAGAGCTACCTGGGAAGGGGGCATCAGTTTTCTTCAGGGGTGTGACCCTGGGCAGTTGGTCTTGCTCCAGAAGATGGCTTTGCATCCCTGTGCACTTGGGCAGCACTAATTTTGAACTCACCGTGGCATTGGGTAGGGTAGAGAAATGGCTCAGAAGGTTAGAGCTTAAGAGCACTTGCTGCTCTTGCCAAGGACCTGTGTTCAGTTCCCACATCAGGCAGCTCACAACCACTTGTAAATCCAAGTCTAGGGGATGCAATACCTTCTTCTAGCGCCCACATGCACTTTCAAGCGTGTTGTGAACATACAAAAAAGTGGGCAATACACATAAAAAAGAAGGGGACATGACATTGGGAGTGCAAACCAGGGGGATAGCTGTGGTGTTGGGAAGATTGTGAGTAAAACACAAACTATATATATATATATATATATATATATATATATATATATATATATATATATATATGAAATTCTCAAGAATATTTTTCAAGAAAGGTTTTAGGAGCCAAACTGACAAAGTGCCAACTATCTAAAGAGAGGCCCCCACCTCTCCTCCAACTGGAAAAAGCAGCTGCAGGGAAGTTTGTAATGATAGAAATTCTGATTACGAACTACTGGCAGGTGTTAGGGACCTAAGATATTACTCTGAAAGCTGTTAACCCAGAGGAAAGAATCCTGTTGACATCACTGAGTAAATAAACAAGCAGAAACTTCATGAAATGAAACATGAATGATAACATTCACCTTGAATAGGCTGGTATGGTGGCATACACCTGTACGTAATTCTAGACCCTGGGAGGTTGAGGCAGGAAAATCTTGAGTTTGAAGTCAGCCTGGGCTACACAGCAAGAGCCTGTCTCAAAAAAGAAAAAAGAAAAAAGAAAATCAACTTTTTGAAGCTTCAAAAGAATTAATAAATTAGTCATCAATAATTACTAATTATTACTATACTAAGAGACAACCACTCATTATATGCCCCTAATGGAAGGACACATGATCACACATGAAAATGTCTCATGTCAGGCATGGTGGCACACCCTTGTCGTCCTTGTGCCCCAATAGGCTGGGCAGAAGGACCACTTGACCACAGGAGTTCAAGATCAGCCTGAGTAACATAACAAGAACCCATCTCAAAATATACAGACACAATGGAAATTGTCTTATTAAAAAGAAAATCAAGATAGCCAGAGGAATGGTTCCCAGCTAAGAGCCTTTACTGCTCTTGTAGAGAATGAGAGTTCTGTTCCAAAAACCCATATAGTCACTCCAGCCATCTGAATCTCCAGTTCCAGTGGATCCCACACCCTTTTCTAGCTTCTAAAGGTTCCAGCATGAATGTGGTGCACGTAAACTCATGATAGTGCACAAACATACACATCAAAACAAATAAAGGCTGTTCAAAAAGGAAATCAATGTGGGTGTGGTGGTCCATGCCTGTAATCACAGCACTCGGGAGGTCGAGGCAGGAGGATCAGGAGTTTAAGAGTATCCTCAGCAACTGAGGACAGCCTTGGCTATGAGAGACACTATCTCAAATTAATTAAAAAAAAAAACTCATGGCAGGTGGAATACTATACATCTTTAATTCCAGCATTAGAAAGATGGAGGCAGGGAGAGCATGTGGTCGGCCAGACTCTGTTTCAAGTACCAAACCCCCCTAAAAAACAGTAAGGAAGAGAGGGAGAAGAATGGGAAAGGGAAGAAAAGAGAAACCAGGGGCTAGAGGAACAGAAGGAGGGAGAAAAGGAGAAAGGAAAAGACGTACAACTAACATTTAGAGAGCGCAGGCTGGCTGGATCTCTCAAATTCAAGAGAGGGACAAAAATAAAGTGAAAGAGACATGGACAGCAATCTTTAGACTTTAAGCAAACTTGACAACCAACTTCAAACTGAAAATTTTTATGGCATTTAGGAGCTATCAGATTGCAAATCTGACATCAACGAACCGATATTAAGGAAAAAGTATTTTATTTTACATATACACACATACCAAAAATGTAGAGATAAATTCTATACTATTTGAAGGTTCCTTTAAAATAAGACAGAACATAGTGGGCATGGTAGTGCACACATTTAATTCCAGCATATGGGAAGCAGGAAGGAGTAGGCGGATCTTTGTGGGTTGGAGAACTGTATATAATGAAATTCAGGTCAGTCAGGGCCACATAGTGAGACTTTTTCTCATAAAAAAACAAAATAAAGAACACTCCCCCACAACACACAAACACACTGAGAAGTGGGGGATAAGGAAGGCAGAATAGTATGAAATAGATAGGAGCCATAATGAAACACAGCATGTACACATAACTTAAATACCGAGCCTGAAAAAAATTCTGGCATGTGCTTCAATAAACACTGGAGACATAATTAATGAAATAATTCACACAAAGACAAGTATTGCACGATACTGAAGCTGGAGAGCACTGGCTGCTCTTGCAGAAGACTCAGGTTTAATTCCCAGGACCCACACAGCACTTCACAACCTTCTGTTATGCCAGTTATAGGAGATGTAATGCCGACTTCTGGCCTCCACAGACATTAGGCATGTCTGTAGTGTACATATATACAAGCAGGCAAACACTCATAAAACAACAGTAACAAAAAGACTTAAAAAAATTACTGGAGCCGGGCGTTGGTGGCGCACGCCTTTAATCCCAGCACTCGGGAGGCAGAGGCAGGCGGATCTCTGTGAGTTCGAGGCCAGCCTGGTCTACAGAGTGAGTTCCAGGACAGCCTCCAAAGCTACAGAGAAACCCTGTCTCGAAAAACCAAAAAAAAAAAAAATACTGGATGGGTGGTGGTGGCACTTGAGAGGCAGAGGCAGGTGGATCTACAAACGGAGCTCTAGAACAGCCAGAGCTGTCACAGAGAAACCCGTCTCAAAAAAAACAAAAGAATCTCCAGGTAAGTATAACTCTCCCACAACAATACTTTTTTCCTTCTACAGCACACAGATTATTACAAAAAGCCACAACTAGTCAAAATGCAGAGAAGACTGACTGAGCTGCCAGTCCCAGCTGATACATCTAAAGCACAACCCTTACATCTAAGGCACCTCAGAAGAGGGAGGGAGAAAGACCAGAGATGGTCTTTTACAGATTCCACAGGGAAGGTTCTACCCATGAAATTTCAACAATATGGGGACTTAAACAAGATCTGAACAGTAATACCAGTTGATATGCCAACATGGATGGGAGCAATTGCAGAGGGCTCTACCCCTAGATGAACTACAGCAATTAAGAACTGCTGAGAGAGGGAGAATTAATCTTCAGATATAAGCATCCTAAAGTGGTCAGCCCTAAAAACACATACATATAAGCAAAACCAAACAGACTCAGGTTACATTTGTATATTTATTTGCAATATACATGTAGCAATAATAAAGAGTAAGAGGTTATGAATTTGAAAAGCAGGGGTTGGGAGAGGTTATAGAAAGGAGAGAAATGATGGAATTAATGTTTTAATTAAATTTAAAAATTTAAATATCTGGCCAAGCGGTGGTGGCACATGCCTTTAATTCCAGCACTGGAGAGGCAGAGGCAGGCGGATCTCTGTGAGTTTGAGGCCAGGCTGGACCGACAGCCTCCAAAACAATACAGAGAAACCCTGTCTCATAAAAAACCAAAAACCAAAACAAAATATCTGTTACACTATGCTATTTGTATGAGATACTAAAACTGGGAAATTCAGATAATAAAGCAGGTGAGGTTATTAGGGATCTGGAGTGTAGGAGAATGGGGCATGAATGTTCAGTGGTTACAGAGTTTTTGCTAATGAAAGAGACTTAGGTAATAATCAGTACATATTACAGTTCAATTCATGTCTCTGAGTTGTGTGTGTATTGTTGTTAAGATTTAACTATATAGTCTAAACTGGCCTTGAACTTGTGATCCTCCTGCCTTAGACTCCTAAGACCTGGGATTGTAGTCATTCACACTATGCCTGGTCTCCAATCTCAGTTCAACATGAAATTATGGAAACTATTTGCTTTTCCTTTAAAATTATTAGTACCCATGAAAGAAACTTAGTTTTCACATCAGCGCAGGATGGAAACTATTAAATTACTATGAATTTTTTTTTCATTATGAGGTTCTACTTACCTCTGCTTTATAATAGCGCTGAGTATATGTTAAATCAATTATCAATCCAAGTTCTTCATTTTGTTCTTGAATTTTATTAAAAAGATCCAAAGGAGAAAAGCATTCTTCTGGCATAAGCTTTGCTTCATATTTCTGTCAGAGAGTGAGGCAAGGGAGGGAAACGTGCTTCAAGTTCTGTACCACACTATGTGTGTATCCCAGTCCCCATGAGATGAGCTCACAATGAGGTGCAAAGGGCTGTTTTGGGCTATTCTAGAAGCTCCTAACACTTCTTCTAGTGGTAGGGAAAAAAACAGCTCACTTTGATATCCATATTTCTGGGCTTGTGTTCCCTTGCCTGAATGACTTCAGAATGTCCTAGACAACATTAAATAGGTAGGAAAAAACAAAAGCCTGTTCCTATCTGTCTAAGCCTTAGAACTAAAATGCATTTCACAAATAAGCCAAAAAAAAGTTCACCCACAAATTCTACTGACTTAACACAATGAATACTGAACTATGCAGTTTAGTCAGGTGAACACAAAATACAACATTATAATTACTCTTCATATTATAGTTAGGGGATTATATTCTTTTCCTTAAAATGAGATATGAATGTAGACTCTATGGATCAGTGAATCTCATTTCAGGTTAATAAAGTGACATAAAACAGGAAATCAGAGAGCAATCAGGTCAAGAGCCAGTGTTCTCCATGGGGAATTTATATTTTTGAAAAATACTGGATTAACTTTCACTTACCTTTTGCAAAGGAACTTTGAAAGCAATGAAACGAGTCCCAGGCATCCGCTGTCCAACTGGGAGATAGTCTTTCCACCTGTGACAAAGGGTGTCTGCTAGTCAAACTGTATGTCAGCCTTGCCTCCCAACAGAATAAGGCTCCAAGCTGGGCGGTGGTGGCGCACGCCTTTAATCCCAGCACTCGGGAGGCAGAGGCAGGCGGATCGCTGTGAGTTCGAGGCCCAGCTGGACCGACAGCCTCCAAAACAATATAGAGAAACCCTGTCTCGTAAAAACCAACCAAACAAACAAACAAACAAAAAAGGCTCCAAGACAGTGGGGCTCCTAGCACACACAGACCGTCCCTTGGCTCTGCTCTGCCCTTTGTCAACCTATTCATTTTCCATAAATAAACAACCTACACTTTCTTCTTCCCGTTCCCCCATCTTGAAAACAGATATAAGACAGCACAAACAAGAAATGTCTAAAACTAAGAATTGCCAGAACTTTCATAGCCCTAATAAACCCAGCCTAGCACCAAATACCAGTGTGATGTGTCAGACATGGGGGCAGAAGGGGGACTGTGTCAGAGGAAGGGGCTAGAAGGAGGGGAGGTGCAACAAGCAGCAGAGAGGGGGAAAAGTTATATGTGGGGGTAAGAGCAAAGCATAATGACATACACGCACAAAAATGTTACAATGAGACTCGGATTTTGCAAGGTAACTAAAAAATACTACAAATACCTACACAATGGCTGAAAGAGCTCAAATTCAGTGCTTTCATGGCACAGTGTTTTGAGTTTCCACACGAGTGACATCGATTTAATGTATAGAAGCCTCCCAGTTATATGAATGAACTTCAGTCATGCCAGGGTCATCGTGGAGAGTAAGAGCTGAACTGGTCTATGTCCATCGATTACAAGTAAGCAGGGTTCATTCAGTACACATGGAGCACAGAGAGTGAGGACTGAGTGGCAAGAGCCTGGGCTGGAGGCACAGAGGAGCCCAGAACAGTGGAGCCTAGTGTGCAAGCCATGACAAAGGGTTGGCTTTCAAGTTTCTTTAATTCTTTAAGATTTGTTTATTTACTATATAGTATATAATATATATAGTGTGCAGGCCATGACAAAGGGTTGGCTTTTAAGTTTCTTTATAAGATTTGTTTATTTTCTATAATATATATATATATATATATATATATATATATATATATATATTGTTCCGCCTGCATGTATGCTTGTACACCAGAAGAAGGCACCAGATCTCATTACAGATGGTTGTGAGCCACGGTGTGGGTGTGGTTGCTAGGAATTGAACTCAGATCTTCTGGAAGAACAGCCAGTGCTCTTAACCTCTGAGCCATCTCTCCAGCCCCGGCTTTTAATTTTTAAGTCAAGCTTTACCTTAAATCTATGAGCTGTCTCCCAACTACTCCTCGAATAATCAGTCTAAATAACTAACGATATAAAAGTATATTTAACGGGTTAGAAAGAAATGAGAGTAGTTAAATGGACACCTGTCTTCTGCAGCACCAACACGTCAAGCAAGTTCTGCACTGGGGTGATGAAGGAGGAAATGCTGACAGACTCTGAAAATATTCAGGAGCTAAAAGAAGTGCTTACTCAAGTCTGGGAAGGTAGAGAGGGCGAGGCGGCCATTCAGCTCGTTTGTGGGGAGGAAGTGCTTACTGAAGTCTGGGAATGGGGAGAGGGCAGTCTGTCCTTCCTGAGTTTTAGGTATTGCTTATTTGTGTAGATAAGGCAACAACTTGTTGAATTCTAGTCAGAGAGGCCAGTCTGGCCGCGCGTGGCTTCAGCTACTCCTTATTTGTGGAATTCACAGCACCTGTGAGCAAAATCGTAAACCTAACCATTGGCACAGGCAGGAAAACTCCCTCAAACGACACCTCCGCCTCCGGAGTCCTGGAAGCGACCTCTCCGGCTGGTGGTGGGGGCAGGGTGTCTCCGGCTCAGGCCGGCTTCCTCACCCAGCGCCCCCGCTCCTCCAGGCGCACTTCCGCGCCGGCCCGAACTCCACAGGCAGAGCCGGGTCTGGTCAGACTTGAGACTCTAGAATGCGGGGGTTGGGAGGGTTCGGCGCGGAGGACTCTGGGAGGCGGAAGGGAGCGAGGCAGCCGGAACGACCTGCCCGGATCCAAAGCGCCTTACCTTTCGGGGATGTGGTTTTTGACCTTCTTCTTGGGTGGGGCACGGCAAGCGAAGTCTCGGCCCCGACCGCGACCATTGCGGCCATAATGCCACTGGTTCATGTGGGCGCAGCTATGCCGCCCACCCAACGCCAGGCGAGCCAGAGCGGCCAGAGTGGCGACCTCGAGGCCTCCGGAAGACGCCGCGGGATCCAGAGCGCCCACGTAGGAACGCGCTGTGTCCGATGCCTCGCTAGTTCGCATGCGTCGTGGCCCGCCGTGATGACGTCACACGGTGCGTGATGAGTTGTCAACCAGCCGGTGGTTCCAACAGTGCCACCTGTCGCTGGAGGCCGGTATCGCACCTTCGCGAATTACGACCTGCGCCTGCAAAACATCCCCCCCCACACACACAACACACACCCCTTCCCTGCGTTCTTCACGACGTTGTCAGTCGCTTACATTTTGTATATTGTTTTTGGTATTTATTCTCTCATAAGGTGTGTCCCTTTTGCGACGAAAAGAAATATAGCAAAGGTTACATACAACATCTATTCGTATTTAAGTATATATTTGTGTTCTTTCTACCTTTAAATGGCTCAGGACATTTAGTTGATCATAGTCAACATAATTAAACGTACCAACATTTAACCATTCCAAAATTGAAATGCCTCCACCAGTTTGGAGTTTCTTGCTTCTTTGGGTCATGTTCTTGATTATCTGTTACAGAAAACGCTGTGGCCTGAACATTCCTATAGGCATATACTATAAATTCCTAAACAGGGAATTACTGGAATGAAGGAAGCACATGTGAGCACTTAAAAACAATACTCTCTAATTGCCAAAATGCTGTCAACCCACTTTTCCATCCACAGCCAGTTTTACTGGTATCCACACCAGGCGTCATAATAGCTGTGAACACCATGGCTTTATATTTTAGCAAACAACAAAAATAACTCAGAGATAAAAGAGGAGCTCCAGTCCAAAATTGCCACACAATATCAGACATAAAGACCCGTGCCTAAGCCGGGCGTTGGTGGCGCACGCCTTTAATCCCAGCACTCGGGAGGCAGAGGCAGGTGGATCTCTGTGAGTTCGAGGCCAGCCTGGTCTACAAAGTGAGTTCCAGGACAGCCTCCAAAAGCTACAGAGAAACCCTGTCTCAAAAAAACCAAAAAAAAAAAAAAAAAAAAAAAAAAAAAAGACCCGTGCCTACTGGGAAATGTCTGAATTCTCCAAGTGGAAGACCAAAGTACAGGACAGCTGCAGTCAGAGTAGTGGCCTAAGTCCCAGGTTAGACTTTTATGTTAGAAATTTATAATAGCAAATTTTAAAGTAAGTTGTAACTTTTGGTTTGAAATTTCTGAAAGTAGCTTATAGTCACTGCAATAATTGTAAATCTGAGTTAGCTGACAGATCTCAGGTGTAGGAGGTTCAAGTCCTGTGCTTCTCCCTAAAGCTTCCTGCAGTCATTCATCTTCCCAATGTATGCAGCAGGTCTTGCTGGGTATAGTCAGTCTTGATTCATGGAAATGTGTTCAGGGTTCTGCAGTGCTCCACTGCTGGGCAGGAATGTACACTGGAGTCGCATGTACGCTGCTGTTCATCTGTCTGCTGGGCTGTTCCGTGTGCTGGTGTTGATGGTCTGCAGAGGGCTGAGCTGCTCTGATCCAAACATTTCTCTGTTTTAAGATTTTATTTACTTTTATGTGCATTGGTATTTTGCCCACATGTGTGTCAGTGTGAAGCTGCTGTTACCTGGACTTGGAGTTACAGACAGGTGTGAGCTGCCATGTGAGCTGGGAACTGAACTTGAGTCCTCTCAAAGAGCAGCCAGTGCTCTTAACTTCTGAGCCCCCGAACATTTCTAAAACACCAGGTAACGGTAGCTTATTACTTGGCATTTTGTGTTGTCTAAAATGTCACTGAATTCAGGTGATCTTCAGAAACAAAACAGGCGGCTTTACTCTTGGTTCGGATTCACTAGAGACTGCCGATCAGCAGGTGTAGTGTTTACTGTCAGCCTTTCCTGGGACACAGAATAGATGTGTTGGCAAAGCCACCGAATAGAGCTATAGATGACAGGTTAGTGGGTACAGACAATGAAGGTGTATCAAGATTTCAGGCCTGTGAGATTCCGAGTCCATAAAGTGCTCTTCAGGCGGCATGAAAATCCACGCTCTAGGCCCAGAACCCACGTGTCACAACCCTGCTGCTGCTGATATCGAAGGAGGGTGGTGCACACCTGCAATCCCAGCTCTGGAGGGAAGGGACAGGCTGGCTGCTGGTGCTTGCTGGCCAGCAAATGCCACCAGATTGCTGAGTTTCAACACCAATGGAAGACTCTCCCAGAAAAAATAGAGTAGACCACAACTGAAGATGGACACTTACATTTGATGTTAATGCTCCTTCCCTCCCTCCCTCCCTCCCTCCCTCCCTCCCTCCCTCCCTCCCTCCCTCCCTCCCTCCCTCCTTCCCTCCCTCTCTGTTCCTCTCTCTCTCTCTCTCTCTCTCTCTCTCTCACACACACACACACACACACACACACACACACACACACACAAAAGAACAGTAGGGTATTGGGGATATTAGACTTAGCTGTTCTGAAAGACAGTTATTTGGTAATTTAATAAAGGTATGGTGACTTCTCCATAGCTCTCAGGATATCTGGGGAGAGTGGATTCTGTGCTGCAAAATCAGACCTCAACAAACTATGTTTTTGAACTCTCCATGCTGAGGATACTTTTTTTGTAAGATATTAACTATAAGTCTAAATATTTTCTCTCTTCACAAGGCCCAGAATGTTGCCTTCTAGCATGAGTTGAAATTTGAACAATTGTCTAGTGATTTCACTGAGGCGGATTCTGCACCAACTAGGCTATTGGTGGCTGATGCAGAAAAAAATCCCTGAGGAGAGAGGCTCCAATACATCAGGGTCATCCTTGAAGACTGTAGACTATTAAATAGAAACCCCATCTGCCAAGCCACTACAGGTACATGACCTAGAAGACGCCTATGAAGATGTGACTCATGCTGGGGAATGTACCATTAAAAAAAAGATGTGGTCCCAGTACATCAGCATCAACCACTGATGCTGTACAAAGTACCACTCAAAAAGATGTGACCCCCCAATAAGCATCAGCCACTCAGGGTAAAGAAATGCTATTCTAAAATATTTGGCCTCCAGCATATGAGCATCATCCACTCAGGCTGGAAATGTGTGATGCTCACAAGGCCAGGTAAGTCACCTCTGGCTCCTGAGTTGGAAAAGCCTTGTGGAGAGGTGATTCTCTCTTCATCTTCGAAGCTGTGAATTCAGCAACCCACACATTTACAAAGTAAAATGGAGGGATAGGAGGAAGGTATTCAGTTCCATTTCAGAGGGGAGAAAAACCATGAAAGGGGTGACTGAACCTAGCTACAATCAGAACCTTGTTGCTGTGACTGTGCTGGCCTAGTCTACCAGCTGCTTATAGTTGGAGTCTCAGAACTGCAGCTTTTCCAGGGAGCAGGTGCTCGCTGATCACCCCACAGTCCCAGGTCCTCAAGAGGTCATGATATGCCTACATTTCCATCTCTGAGACAAGTCTCTGCATGGGGCCACAGGATGACAGCAACATTCTTTAATACCTAAGTTCAGGGATGCACCTAGAGGGGCTGGCCTATATGACTGAGCATTCCCACCACAGACATTCTCCAAGGTGAAGACTCAGGAATACTGGTAGCTTGGTTCTGTCCACTTTTGAAAGGTAGATGCCAGAGACCAGAGGACTTGAGGAAACACAAGTCTACAACCCAGAGTCCAGGAGACCTGGACTTCTTGTGGTCAGGGTTTCTGTCCAGTTCGGTCCCACCACCCTTCAGTCCCAAATAAATACACAGAGGCTTTTATTAATTATAAACTGCCAATGGCTCAGGCTTCTTATTACCTAGCTCTCTCTTAATTATTAACCCATTTCTTTTAAGCTGTGTCCTCAGACTTTTCCCACTTGTCCATGGCAGTTCACAGTGTCTAAGACTTGTGCCCTCTGCTTAGTCTCCATGAATTGTGGTCTCATTTCTTCATTCTGCCCATAAGAACACCACAGAAAACATTTGAAACCTGGGGAACACAGGTAAAGAAGTGAAAATTCCTTCCTGAGTTGAGACTGTTTCCTTCTTTGATTCTCAGAAAAGATACCCAGAGTCTGACTCTGTACAGATCACTGGTTACATTTAAATTAATGACGTAGTATTTGGATGTTTTCAGATTTGGATAAGTCCCTTCAATTAAACTCTTTGATTTAATGCTACAGTTAGAAATGATTCATTCTATTTCAGATGGGTAGCACATGGCAGTAATCCTGGCCATTGGGGATATGAGGCAGTAGGTTTCCTATAAGTTCAAGGCCAGTCTCAGATACAGAGTCTTGAAGAAAAGGCAGCCAGTTTGGCTAACTTAATTCTAAACTGAGCAGGAAGACTCATTTTTCTGTATGTACCGTACTTTGTGCTGAGCCTGGGAATATAATATATGTAAGGTCTAGGTACATGTCCACAAAGTGTGCAACCATTATCAGAGACAGTAGATGCCCAAGAATGAAGAGGAATGCTGAGAAATGTGTGAAGAAAGAGCTCTAGGAACTGTGATGAAGGCAAAAGCCTTCCTCACTGCCCACCAAACCGGTAAGTGACGTGGACAAGACCCCACCCTGACCTTAAATGAGGAGACCGGAACAAGAAAGATGCTGTAGACGTGTCAAAAAAGGATGGGCTTCTCTACAACGCAGCTCACAAACCCTGAGAAGACCCATTTGGCTGTAGCAGGGAAGATCCTAGGCCCCGCATGTGCTAAGAGGGAAATGTGTGGCTCATCTTAGCATCTGTGTGTTAGAGAGTAAACAAGAAAAGCCCATTCTTTTTTTTTTTTTTTT